CACATGCAAAAAATGAATATATTTATTGTTATTGTGACCATAAAGCATTGAAAATTGCACGTACAATTCAGGCAAATTTTTGTTCTATGACTAAATTGAATTTTTCTATCTCATGCATCTCCAGTTCTTTTATATACATTTTTTTTGTCGCTCTGCTCTATGAACTTTGGATATGAAAATGTTTAAAAAAAATTAAGAGAAAAAATTTGTATTCAAATTAGATTTTCTTGGATTTTTTTTTTTTTTTGAGCTTTTTTGTATGGATTTGAAGGGGTTTTGTTGTCATATTGTGAAGAGTTGAAGAGGATGTTTGAAATGGATTGAAACGACTCAAAAAATTGTTTTGTTGAAGTGAATCAATTTTGATGTGAAATGATCAATATTCATTTTTGATTTAATTGTAAAGTCATTTAATTTAAATCGGTTTTAATCGATTGTAATTAAGTTGTTCGAATAAAGGTTAATAATGCTGAATAATGGCATTCACAACATCTATTCATTTTGAATAATACGTGAGTCCAATGATCTACAAGAAAAAAATTGTTTTGAATTTTAAAAGGATATTAAGGTGAATGGAATAAGGGCTCGTTCACTTATTACGTAACGCAAAAAAACGAGTTTTTAGACCCCCCCTCCCCCCCCTGTAACAAAGCGTAACAAAATCTTAGACCCCCCCTCCCCCCCCAATAACGTAACAATAATTTTTTTCATTTAAATTGTTTATCAAATGTTTATTATACTTCCTTTAAAATTTAAAATTAATATAGAAAAAATTATAAAAAAATATATTTTTTGAAAAGTTACGTAACAAAATTTAGACCCCCCCCCTCCCCCTGTAACAAACCGTAACAAAATCTTAGACCCCCCCTCCCCCCCTAGTGCGTTACGTAATAAGTGAACGAACCCTAAGTGAAAAGAAGCTTATACACAAAATGAGAAAAGTTTTCGTCTTGGGATACTTAATACTCTGTTCAAGGAAACTCGATGTCTTAAATTTCTGCTTGTTAAAGACTTGTCTGACGATGTTGAAGGTTTACTTTAAGAAAAATTGATTTTTGTTCATTTTATGGATGTTTTTTGGTGCATTCTAGATTGATGCATAGGTTGAGCCTCAACTTCAAGTTTATATGTCGTTTTTGAGTTTGGCATTAATATTTTAAACATTTTGGGATGAAATTCACAAGTTTCATCTTTTATTAATTCATCGTGGATTAATAAGTATCTCATCCTACTTTGGAGTCAGTTACAAATGATGGCTATTTTTAAGGGAGACTTTAGGGCCATAAAGAATTAAGATCCATGAAAAATCATGAATGAAATTACGACTGAAGATTAAACCTTCCCTCTCGACCAGAAATTTCAACAATTTGCTATAAAAAAACTAAAAATCTCAATTTTTACAGGACATCATTTGCGTCTAGCCCCTCTTATTTCTTTAACCTCCATCATCAAGATAAAATATTTATATTTTTATGTAAAATTCTTCTTTTGCTCGCCTTACTCATTTAAAATACATCCAAAAAGCAATCGCATGGCATTGAAATGAAGAAATTGAAAAGGAAGACGAGCAATAAAATATTTTTTCAGTCTTAAATCGATGAATAAAGGAAGAAAACGAGTCAAATAATTCTGATAAAGGAAAGATTCATTTCCTTTTAGATATGCAAAGAGATGTTTTTATGTGTGTCTTGAAAAGGGACACTGAAAAAATTCAGAATTAACCTTTTGAGAATTTTTATTGATGTAAAGAGATGGGGAAAATGGGATTTAAATAGGCTTTATGCCTTTGTTACTATTCTTCATGAGGGAAATAAAATTTATAGATTTTATATGCTTTTTCTAGTTTTTAAGCTCATCATCAAATCTCTTTTTGGGTTTTTTTGAGATTTTTCAAACTTTGTCTATTCTAATTTGGGGAGTTGTTTGCCTATGACATCCACTAATTTGCTAAAAATTCTGAATGACACTTGATTGAATCAACTGATGAACCTGAAGCTTAATTTTAAATCTTTAAATTATGACGGTGAGATTAAGATTCTTGTCGACTAGGTATCAGGTGATTTTGCAATGTTTGAATAATTATAAGCACGAGATCTTACGTCATATAATTCTTACTATCATAAGTCCTTAGTCTTCCTTACTTCCCAGCAATCTATCCTGCCCAATCCATATCATACAATTTATAAAGATTTATTCTCAAACAGATTCATTTATCAGCAACTTTTCTCAAACTTTTCTTGTGTATATTTTGCATTCCTTATACCTTTTATCTCTCCTTTAGATTATTCCGATTCTACTTCCTCTGTTCATCCAATTTATCTCCTCCGCCCATTTAAATTCGTTGGCTGATTGAAACATTTTTCCTATTCATTTCCATTTTTTTTTTTGTTCTATAAAATTAGAATTTTTAAGAAAGGAAATGAATCAATAGCAAGAAATGTCTTTGAATCGATAGAAAATAGAGCAAGGAATTATAAAGGAAGAAGAATGAAAATTAAACTAAATACTTATCGCTTACATTGATCTTGAAAATAACTTATAATCTCCATTGAGATTGAACATTAAACGAAATAAAGGAACGGAGAGCACAAAAAAGTCCCTCTGTCAAATTACTGTCAATTATAAAGAATTTCTCTCGATAGAAATAAAAACGGAAGGGGAAATTGCTATCTAGAACTATTAAAGAAGCATCGTGAGACAATAAAGATCAAGAGAAAAAGGACGAGAAATTTAAGTAAGTGGATGATATCCTTAAAAAAATTTATTGGAAGCTTTTGAAGTGGATTGATTTGAAGGAAGCGCAGTGTTTTTGCTGTTTCAATTTTAAAAAGGAAGGAAATCAATGCTCCTTTCTAAAAGACAAACAGCATGCTCAGTAATATCATATTGTACTCACTAGATCTATAAAATGTGTCAAGATTCTAGTTTTTGAAGTTGAGGTACTGTAAGTACTTTTTGTACTATAACTCTTAAATCTAAACATTGAAAGTACACAAAGGACATCATAAAGTCCTGATATTCAGTGATTGCCACTTATTAAACATGCAATAGACACATTTGGTACCAAAGACTTCAAAACTGGATAAAGGACAGCAACTAAACTCCATGATTGAAATATTAGAAGAAACAAGTTGAGGACATTTGGAACATACGGAACTCACTACAAATTAGGTAACTGATGCTATTTGACACTTAATTGAATATCCTTAAGATTAATTTCAAATGCTTAAATCTCAAATTTGTTCAAAATCAAACAGCGTCAAACATAAAGTCCTCTAAATAGACAAATCGAAGACATCATCTATTCCATCCACAAGAAAAAATGGACAGCAAAAAAAAAGAATATAAAAGAAGGAAACGAGGAACTTTTTTCTGTGTGTCGAAAAAAAAGTTCATTTAAGAGAGAAAAATTGAGATGTTGTGATTTTTTATTTTTGTGCTTTAAACTTTCAAGGTTCTTGTTAAAAGAAGAGCAACTTCAAAAATAAGGCCAGTTAAGGGATCGAGTGATGAAAAAGAGGAAGAATAAAACTTATGATTATTAGAGTAAAAAGTTTCTTAATTAAATAAGCATGTGATAGCTATCGATTTTTTGTTTGTGACACTTTGAATGAATTTAAAGTGCTAGATAACATTTATTTTGTTTTCTGCTATGAATGTCATAAAGTCGACAATCATTCGACAATTATGTGACAGTAGAAAATGAAGATTTCGATTATGAGAATGTTGTTTTGTGCTTGAGACAATCTTTGTCAGTAAAACAAGATCTGATTGGGTGTTTTCGGTTCATATAAATGACAGGTGTATGCTTTCAGGTTCAAATGTTTAGTTTTGTTGAAGTTTCAATGTTGATTAAATGCAATAATTTGCCAACAAATGAAATGAGATTCTTGATCGTTTTAAGATCTTTGTTTGATTGTTGTAAGGTCGTGAATATTGATCGAGTCTTTGTAAGATCAAGAAAATGTTTCATAAAGTTCGATAAATTTGCTTCTAATGAAAATAGAACTCAAACCTCTTACTAGATCTTAAACTCTCCTTCTTCTTAAAAGCGTTACGTAATAAGTGAACGGCTCCTATTTTTATTTATATCAATCCCTAAAGATTACAGTTAAACCAATTACGAAAGTTATAAATAAATTCAGATTTTTAATTTCAACTTTTTTCAATTCTCAATACCGCAAATAATCCATTTGACTCCTTCAAACCTTACTGACATCAAGTCCATCTGAAAAAAAATAAAAATAAATAAATTTTCAATGAGATTTTATCAGAATTTTAATAATTGAGAAAATGTTCATCTCAATAATCCTTAATCCTCAAGTCAATGAATTATTAAGCCACAAAAACTCGGAAGTACTCTATCAACTCATAAAATAAAATTTAATCCACAAGAGCAAAAACAAAAACAACATTTAATGAACAAGCCATAAAGCTAATCAACAAACTGAACCGGTAAGTTTAAAAATATATCCACAAATACATTTTATTCATTCATTCATAGACGAGAAACCGAATTTTCCTCTTATGCGGTTTTACTGACAGTACTTTTCATGATGCTGAATTTTATAGACAAAAAAAAAGATGGAAATAGGAATGAATGAAAGGAGAATCGGTATGAAATTTTTAAAGGTGATTGGATGAAACGCTCTTATTAAGAGCAAGTCTTGGGGCACTGCTTTACAATGATTAAGGCTTTTCTGGAACCTCTCGAAAGCTTATAAACTCATTGAACGATTCTTGAACTTTTTAATTCTCAACACAACCAATCCAACTTTAAGCTAAGAACAAATGTTCTTTCCAGCTACTGCCACCTCTACTGGATATTTATAACAGGCCTTTATCAAAATGTTTGCCTCGTTTCGCAGAAAAAAATTAAATTAATCAAAAAATCCCCAAATTTAATTTACTTATGCAATCTTATCTTAATGGCTTTTTATGGCCATTGATATTGAACTTGAAATTTCTTGAAATATATAAATTTCAATTACTTTCGCTCCTGTGTCAGTAGGTAAACAACCGTCGAGCCAAAACATGGATCAAAAAGTTTTATTCATTCTGTCAATGTTTATAATTTCTGCATTTGCTGAGTCTGAACGAATTGCTGGTGGAGGAAATGCAACCCTAGGACAATTTCCACATCATGCAAAAGTAGAACCATCAATTGGAAGCTTTAGACGTTTGTGTGGTGGTGCATTAATTAAATACAATTGGGTAATAACAGTTGCACAGTGCATTCAGAATGCAAGAGATGTTATTGTACGACTTGGTGTAGTTGATCGATTAATAGGACCAGAAATGGCTATTTTTTGGGTCCGTGATCGAAGCCATATTATCATTCATGATAATTTTAATGATGATTCTGTTAATGGAGGTGGTATTCATAACGACATTGGATTAATTTTTCTAGCGGAAGCAACTGAGGGTTTATTAGATATCAAAAATGTAAGCGTTATTGCACTTCCACCAAGCAGTAACTTCGATTTTAGTAACACATTCGGAGTTGTTACAGGATTTGGATTTTATGAGGATGGCGACGACTCTTTGAAGTCAATGAATCTTCGCTATGCTGTAATGATGGTTAATCCTATTCAATCTTGTAGAGATCATCACGGACCTAAATTCACAGACGGTAACTTTTGCACAAACACAACTAATGGTCAATCAACGTGTATTGGAGATGAAGGTGGTCCATTTTTTGTTTTCGATAATAATAATGATCGAACTCTTGTTGGTCTTGCCAGTACAATGTTACCACAATGCACTGTTGGACATCCAGCAATTTTTACAAATTTGGTGTTCTTCTTTGATTGGATTATGGAAAATATTAGCAATACTCCTACTCCTCCTACTGTTGAGCCGCCAATAACAACAACAGCTGCCCCTCCTGACGATGACAAAAGGTGTAATTGTGTTTGTAACTGTTTTACTTGTCCGAAAAATTCAACTGAAGACTCACAACCACCTAAAACTAATTCTTTCTGGGATGAGTGAATTTTTTAACAATTTTATTTGTCTGATTTTTAAATTCAGTGGAAGCTATTATTCTATGATATTTGGCAATAAAACTAAAACAAATAAATTCTAAAGTTTTGTTTTTATGCTTTGCGTGATGAAGTTAAAATTTCCTGGATTTAAAGCATTGCCATTTTAGAGGTCAAACAATTATGACGTCCATCATTTAGCGCAGTATCTCTTTTACTCTTCACGTTAAAAATCAATAGATCTTACGTTCTTAACCTCGAGATGCAGTAGATGCTACTAATAACATACCTATGAACCTGGATTGAAAGGTTTTAGTTTTATAAGGAGTGGTGGGATGCTGAATATTAATTTATTTAATAAATGTCTTATTACTGATCTTTTAATCAACAAATTTAGTTCAACACAAAACACATCCAGCCATAATTCTGACAAACAACTTCTTTCTTATCATGTTAAGCTTCCAAACCACAAAAAATATGCTAAAAAGTGGAAACAAGAATAATTGACCATGATAGAGTGAAAAACCCAAAAGCTGCACACAATTTTCAGGTCGGCTGTTCATTCACTTCGTGCTATCAAAAACTATCGACAGAACTTCCCTCAATTGAGATCATAACAATTAAAATTAGTAGAACGTGATGCGATCCTAATGAAATCGATATTAGGGATGAGACAATAAAAATGTCTCGGTTGGTAAGTCTTAAACGATTTTTTGGGGAGGGTAGTGCTAGATGAAAAGTCAATTTTGAGTTTAAATGGTTTTATTTAGTTCCGTCTATGATATAAAATGAAATTCAATATTAATTGGCATTTAATACCTTTATCTTTATTGAAATGATGTCTATATCTAAAATTAAATGAGTAGCAATGTGTGTCTTTATGGCTTCTGTCTATAAATTGCCGTAATGTTTGTGAGTGTGGGGGAATTATTGGTGGGATTTTTAAGGGACGGAAGCTGAAAGATTGCCTTAATAACTATTTCATGTTATAATATTTTGAAATGGAAGAGAATTGCTATGAATATTTTCTCTCATTTGGGGATTTTAAAACATCCTCATCATCATTTGGGATTTCCTCATGTTGTGATGTGTATTCTTGATTTTTTGGGATATTTACATGATTTCAGTAAATGAAAACTAAAAGACTATGATGCTAGCTTTTTAGAGAAAGCTCAATATTGACTTAATTTGTATTGATTTTCTTGAATGTATGAAAGATTTGTACTAAATGTTGAAAAAAGAGTTCATACTACGTCCTTGGACTATTCAGTGGTGACTAATGAGTCAACTATACCAGAAACAAATCAAATCAAAAGTTTAACTAACCAAATTGATGATGATTGGAAATACTTTGTTATAAAAGTTCAAATAAAACCTTGGATTAGATCTTGATTCTAATTTATATTTGAATAAACGTTACAGATCTATAGATTCTAACTAAATCGACTCAAACTCTGATCTTACCAAACTTCTGAATAGCTGAATATTGTGCTTATAAACTATAAGAAGTTTTCTGGATCAGTTCATCTTGTTAATGTGATGAATTAAAAATTCTGAGCTTAAAAATTGATTTGAATTCTACTAATTATAAACTGAGATCAAACCTGTCTATATGTTAAGCTTCAATAGGACAACAATGAAAGAACATTGCTAAATTCATTATTAACTGCCAAAAAGAGCCAATTTTAATCAAACAAAAATATTTCCAAAGTTAAAAGCCAATTAAATACCACTTCCACTTACTCAAGAAACCGTGTCAGAAATAAAACAAATAAACAACTTTTAAGGTCCATAAAGAAGCATAAACAGAACTTTTCAATTTCTTAATCAATTATTTTCCATCTTTTCATCCTCATCATCGTCTACAACAATAATCGCATCTTTTCAGTCCAAATCTTGTAAATGTCCAGCAAACATTCAAACGAGCCAAACAATTGTTGGTAGGAAGAAGAATATAGAACAATAAAAAAATAACAAAGGATGGGAGGAAGACAGAAGGAAATGATTCAATAATTGAAGATTATATTGTTGCTCTCGTCCATTCACATCCATTTATTCAATTTCCATTCAAATTTTCATTGTCCGAGAATGGAAGGAGTAAATTTTATGGATGCCGGAAAGCAATTACAAGACTAGAATCATACACAGACATGAATAAATGGTGTGTATGCTATATGTCCAATGGATATACAGTCGAAGTTACCGCAACATAAATTATTTTCAATCGAAAATTATTCAATAAATGTTATCTAAATGAACATGAGAAATGTTCTCGATGGCCGTTTTATTGCGACATTAGTCGATGACATAAAGGCATATATGAAATGCGTTTAATAAGCATAATAGGTCATTAGCTCGTAAATATTATCATCTGTCTGCAATCAATTAATGTCGTGTGTCAAATTCATTCAATTACTATTTAATTGATGGCTTTTTGTGAACTGAAAATAAGTAATTTTATTGCTGTGTTCTGACTGAATAGCTGTGACATAGAAAAGCCTTGTGGATATGACGAACTTTGGTTGGATCATTTTGAAAGATAATTTCTTAAATTTTCATTATTTTTCACGGATAATTCCATTCAAGGGCATGTTATTGAATCCTCGAGCTGCTAACACAGTTTTGCTTCTGTTTTCAATGTCCAGTTCCAATTAGACTCCAACGTTGTTATAAAATTTGAATGAAACAAACGTTTTTGGCTTTTTTAAAAAGGTTATTTTTGTGATTTTAATATGCTGACTTGCTCACAGATTGTTTTTGCGATAATGAGTGGCATTAGTCATGCTTAGGGACGTTGCAAGTGTGTATGCCACCCGAGGTTAAATCAAAAATTTGAGCCCCTTTGTAATTGTTTTTGTATTTTTTCCATAAAGCCTGGGCCATACTGGAGTCAACCTCATCTTGCTTATTCACTAGTAATTCTAATAGCTAATCATCATGTTTCTCAAACTATGCCCCGCGAAGCATTGCTGTTCCACGAGAAAATCCTTTATGTTTTAATAGTAGAAGCCAGTTTGGTGTGAACATATGAACAGATAATTTATTGCTTTGCGCCCTGGCAGTTGGAGAACACTGTATCTGAAAAGTATTTAAAATAATATAAATCAAAGAAAATGTTAAAAAGTTTAAATAAATTTTTAAAAACACAATAATAATCCGTAATAATCAAAATTCAGTATAACTTAAAATTTAAAAATGTTTTGATAATCTTTTCGACAAGAAAAAAATTAAATCACAGTTTTCAGTTTGTGAAGTGATTAAAAGCGAAAAAAAAATATAATAATTGCAAGGAAACGCCTTTTTTATATATGTGTTACTAAATTGTTGATATTTTAGTTCAATTGGCATGCAAGATATGCAAAAAATTAAAAGAATAATTGATTTCAGGAATATATAAAAGTGAAATATTAAAATTAAGAATATTTTGTTATGGATTTTTGATTTATCGTCAATGAAATCGTGAAAAATATAATCCAAAAATCTTCAAAAATGATATTTTTAACTTCTCAAATCATCATTAATGATGATGGTGATTAAGATTATACTGAAGAAATGCAGAAAAAAATGTAGTCAGCAAAGTTCTCGAAATGACAAAACAGATTAACATTAAACTATAAAAAAAGTGATAACAAAAAACTCTAATGCAATTTCAAAACAATATAATATAGCATTTAGTTATGACTAAGTTCAGTTGTGTTTGGTCTTATACAAATTTTATGATATGATACACAGCGATTACTAATTTGAAGATTCATAAAATCTAAGATGAGTAATGTAGAGGATTCAACGGTAAGTTTTGATATATCTCATGGGCGTTGCCATAAAGATATGGGAGATTCGAAATTTTTAAACTCTTTTTTTTCTACAAATTTTAAATTTTTTGTTTAATACAAAGTAAATTAGGTTAAAGATCATTAGCTTTTCAAATAGGTATCATGTTTACTGATTTTTTTCCAAATCAAAGCCCCCCTCTTTGGCTTTTTCTCCCAAATACTCTAATCTCTCGAGTAAAGCAATTAATATTATCATTTCCAACAGCTAATGCAAACTAGTTTAAACCAATTCGACATATTGCATACCAAATTAATTAATATTAATCATGAATATGTCATCAAATTGTCCAAGGAAAACTGTAAAAACATTGATCACACAACGCGAAGTATCTTCAAAGTTTTGAATTTTTCTGACGATTGGAATTCTGATGAAATTTCGCATAAAATCTCACAATTAGATGCAAAAATTTATCCACTTCTTTTTATTTTTGTAATTAAAGTAAAAAGTTTGGGATTTTCTGACTCAAAACAGAATCAAATTCCAAAAAAAGTTGAAACTCTACAAAAATGTATAATTCAGTTCTGTCAAAAACGTTCAATTATACTACAACTTACATCCATTGATGAAAACCAGACGAAATTTTACTATAAAGAAGAGGATTGCATAGATTTTATTCACATTGATGAAAATGCAACTAACGATGAAGATTTTGAAGATTTTCCAACATTTTTAATTGCAATTTCCAACTCAAAAAACATTGAAAATCAAATTCTTGAAAAATTGCCAAAACTTACAAATTTGTCTCTAGTCGTAAATTTTTTGAGTACTTTAACCATCACTGATCGTTTTTATACGGATTTATTTCTTAAATGTGCTTCAAAATATAAATATTCAGATCTTCTTGCAATAATTGATGGATTTATAGACGATAATGGCAATATTCAAGGAGCTTATCTGGACTTTTTATCTGATAAAATCAATTCAACATCAGCTCTGCATGCAGCAGTTTTAAATTCTAATAAGGAAGTAATTGAATTTTTGATCAATAAATGCTCCATTTATATAAAGAAACTTGAATTTGAACACCAAATTGAAGTTTCAACTGCCGCATTTACAACAAATCAATTCGATATTTTGTGTAATTTGGTCCAAATTTGCGATTTTCCATTTCCAAAAGATTTGAAATCAGAATTGATTGACAACGACTCATTAAGCAAGTTGATTGATTCTAGAGAACAATTTCATAACGACATTATTAACGAAAAACTTAATGAAATTGAAAAGTTCGCAAAAACGTATCCAAACCTTAAAATTGCTTACAATCTAAATAATAAGTCAGCATTTTGTCAAGCACTAGATTCAAAAAAATACGTCACATTTTACAAACTTAAGGCATTAAGATTTTATGATCATTTAATAGAATACAAGATTGAAGATAGTGATAAAAAGAATGCGAAAAAATTTGCTGTAGCACAACTAAGAGAAAATGTCAGTTGCTCAGTACCTAATGAACAAGAATCAATATCACTATTGTCAATGCGATCATACATTTACAAAAGAAATGATACCGAAATAACTGAAGAATGCAATATCAAAATCAAAGATTGGTACAAACAGATCTACATTACTAAATTAGGTTCCAAACTCATCGATGCTGCATCCCAATGTGGCAAATTAAAAATTATATATGACTTTGAATGTGATTCGGTAAGTTTATTATGATTAATATATTCTGACCAAGGCTCCCGCAGATTATAATCTTTTATTAATCCCATACAAAGATTATAATTTTCAATAGTTTTCATACAAAAATTATAATCTGCATTTAAAAGATTATAATCTGCGGGAGCCTTGATTCTGACAACTAAGTTGATTAAATTATCATTAACATCATGAAATAATGTTTTGAATTAAATTCCAATTGTAGGTTGAAAATGTTGATGTATCTTCAACATCTGCATCTAAAGGAAAAACATATCCAGGATTAAAATATATATTCATTGGAGCAAAAGCAGTAAACAAAGAGCGTGAACAGTTTATCAAAGGTGTTATTGCTCATGAAATTTGTCACTTCGTCATGCGTCTAGTGTACGAAAATAATGAAAATCCATACTACAAAGGTGATACAAAAACTAAAAACAAATTCGATGAAATCGTAAAAGCTATTCAGATAATGTTAGTTCCACAAAAAATAGTTGAAGAAATTGAAGAATCATCTGATGAGAATAATAGTTCTGTTGGAGATAAACATGATGAAGATAATAACGTTAACGACGATCAGTGCAATAAGATTATTTCATCAGTTTATAAATCTTATGATGAAGAAGATTGGCATCCAGAATTGATTGTAAGACCAGTGCAAATTTTAACTCAATTTGATAATGACTCTGAAAAAATTGCTATTTTGGAGAATAAATACAAACAATTATATCAATTTTGTGACGACGTGGTGATTCCTGAACTAGAACAATTCAATTTTGAATTCAGGGAAAAAGTTAAAAATTTTAACAATATGGTTGAGTTTGCATCAAAGTTACAAGACACAAAGATTGAGTAATTTCCAAAAATATTTTCATAAATTCTGAGAATTTAGACAATTCTTATGTTTACAATAACTTTAAAGACATTCTTGTTAAAAAATTGAACTTGAACATTTTTGTTGATTGCTCGAAAGGATTTGCTAAAGCATTTGAAATCTTAACTTTAGCAAGAGAATTAAAAATTGCTATTATTGTTGGGGAAGAAAAACAAAGTGGTGAGTTACTCAGTCAATGTCAAAAAAATAATATAAAAACTTCCAGTTTATCACTTAATTATGATTGGTTGGATCTTACTTTGAAAATGAAAATTTTTTACTTAACACAAAAGTAAATTTTCAAAATAAATCCGATATAGTTTTATCTAACTTGATTTTAAGTAATGTGGATACAGCAGGTGACATATCATGTAAAACTGAAGAATTTTTGGACTTAATTGATAACGAGACTTTAAATTTATTGATTGAAAAGTCCAAAATTTCAATAAATTTGCAAACAATTAAAGACGTTTATGATCAAAACTTTAAAATTCTCTTTCAAACTAGAGAGTTGATCAAAAACTATAAAATTACGAAACAGATTGTTGACAAATCGGAAAACGAAAGGCAAGGAATATTAAAATTATTCAAACAAAAAAAATGCTGAGTCAAAGAAATTTATGAGTCAGAAATCTATTCAAAAAGCAGAAGATAATAACGCACAAATTCAAGATGAATGTGGCCCATCAGACGTAATTAAAGTTGAAGAGGTCGATCAATCTGACCAAATGAATCAGGAAAAGATCATAAAGGATGTAAAAAATCAAAAATATGTTCTCATTTCAGACAAAGCCGGTTCTGGTAAAAGTTGGATGATGAAAAACTTCATGGCTAAGCTGAGTGAACTGTATCCAAAAAAATGGTTCGTTTATGTAGATTTAAAACAGTACATTACCAAATTTAAAAAGCAAAAGTCTCAAATTAATTTTTTAAACTTTGTTATTGAGAATTTAATTCAATTCAAATCAAAGTTTGAAAAGAACTTATTTAAAATTTTTTACAAAAACGGCCAAGTTTGTATTTATTTTGATGGATTTGATGAAATTGCACCAGATTGTGCCAACTTCGTCACAAAATTGTTTAAGTCATTTGATCAAAATGAAACGAATCAGTTATGGATCGCAACAAGAGATTTTTTCGAAGTTAATCTTAAGAAAGAACTGAATATCAATGTAGTTTATAAGCTAGACGTGTTTAGTGAAGAGCATGGAATTAATCTAATAGCTTCAAGCTGGATGCTAAGTGAGATTAATCACGATATTGCCAAGAATTCTAAAGTTGAGATTTTAAAATATATTAAAAGTTTGCCAGATTTCAAGAATTATTTAAAAATTGCCAGAAAAATCAATAAAAAAGTGTCAAAGTCACAAAATGCTACAATTGAATCTCCTCAATTCTACAAAATGGTGGGTGATATTTTAAAAAACAACAAAAAATCAGTGATGAACCTAACGCTTCTAGGTCATCTGGCAGACGGAATTCCTAGGAACTTTTCTTAGGAATTCCTAGAAAGTTTTCTGCGATTTCCTAAAAAAATTCCTTAGACTTCCTATCATTATGGCCTAAACTTCCTTAGTTTTTAAAAGTAATTCCTAGTAAATCTAGGAATTCCTAATTTTTTTAGAAATTCCTAGGAGATATATTTTTTTTGGAATAATTGCGATTCGCAAAAAATTTTTTTGAAAAATTCCTGAGAAAATTAGGAAGTTGTAGAAATTCCTAGAAACTTCCTAGTAATATTAGGAAATACTAGAAAATCCTAGTCATTCCTAGAACCCTCGTTAGAATAATAAAATGTTTATGTTTACTATGATTTCCTAGTATATCATTTGATTTCCTAGGATATTACAGAAAGTTCTTGAGAGCATTTCCCCAAAATCCTAGGAAATACTAGAATTACTTATATTTTCTAGGGTTTATCAGGATTTCTTAGGATTACCTAGAATATTTCAGGCTGTACTAAAGAAATCCCAAAAATTTTGAGAAATATTTGAAAATTCAACCCAAAAACGCCGATGGCTGAACGATTTTTTTTATCATTTTTAAAAATATCTTCTAGCAAAAGCGAGTATGTTATTTGTTTTTGTCAGAATACAATTGACTATATCGCAAAAAGTTTCTATCCAAACAAATTAAGATTTAATAGAATTCTGTACTATTTAGTCCTAATTTACAGCTTCATAACACAGGTGTAAGTTTTTGGGTCTATATGACATGCAGCTGTAAATTGAGGTATGTATTGTTTAGGAAATCGCTTATCTGTACTTAAAACGTGGTGGCTAAAATTGAAGCAAAAATAGTGACTTGTTTACCGAACTAATTCCGATCGGCATTTTTCTCCAGACTTTTTGTAAAAGGAAATATTATAGTCAAATTTGCAAAAGTTTAATGAACAAGTACCGATAAGCGTACCTAAGCAGTACGCATTATCTTTAATTAAAGCTGTTTGTTATTCAAACTAAAGGTCAAATTTGCAGCTATAATTTAATCCCTACGTATACATTCTTATTTATACGTAAGCCTAAGTATAATAAATTGTAAAATAACTGTTGTATACGTTAACCCATGATCGTTGTGTACAGCAATAATTAGGTATCGAAGTACTAAACAATTCCTACCGAGCTGCTTTAACACATATGCAATTAACAGCTGTGATTTAATATAGCTGTAAGTTAGTGCTGAATAGTATAGGTCATTCATGGTAGCATTTCAAATTTTTGAGAAGAAGTATTTTTATCGCAATTGGAAATATTTGCTTTTACAGTTTTTCGAGAAGCTGTTACAGTTTTTACTGCGTAGAAGTAAAAATTACTTAAGAATTTCTTAAGTTACCTAAGAATTTCTAGGATTTCCTAAGTAAATTCCTAGGAATTTTCTCAAAAATACTTTCGTCGTTAAGGAAAAAGTAGGAAATTTCCTAGGAATTTCTAGGAAATAATTTCGTTTTTCTAGAAATTCCTAGGAAATTAAAGGAAGTCCTAGGAGAATTTTCTACTTTTTCCTTGAAATTCCTACGTAAAGTAACAGGAATTCCAAAGAATTACTTTCTGCCAGGCTTTTAACACCCAATAAATGGTGAAGGATTTCTCGTCATGCAGACCTTGATAAAAGACCTACGATTCTTAGGAATTTCTAAAATGTATAGCAATACCTAAGAATCGCAGAAAATTAATTCTTTTAAAGTTCTTAAAAATTCCTACGACCTTTAGTAATTCCTTAAAATTCATAGTAATTTCTAAGAATTACTATAAGTTCCTAGGAATTTTCTAGGAATTTCTACAACTTCCTAATTTTCTTAGGAATTTTTCAAAAAATATTTTTGCGAATCGCAATTATTACAAAAAAAATATATCTCCTAGGAATTTCTAAAAAAATTAGGAATTCCTAGATTTACTAGGAATTACTTTTAAAAACTAAGGAAGTTTGGGCCATAATGATAGGAAGTCTAAGGAATTTTTTTAGGAAATCGCAGAAAACTTTCTAGGAATTCCTAAGAAAAGTTCCTAGGAATTCCGTCTGCCAGATGATCTTCACCCGATTTTATTCACATTGATGAAAATGCAACTAACGATGAAGATTTTGAAGATTTTCCAACATTTTTAATTGCAATTTCCAACTCAAAAAACATTGAAAATCAAATTCTTGAAAAATTGCCAAAACTTACAAATTCGTCTCTGGTCGTAAATTTTTTGAGTACTTTGACCATCACTGATCGTTTTTATACGGATTTATTTCTTAAATGTGCTTCAAAATGTAAATATTCAGATCTTCTTGCAATAATTGATGGATTTATAGACGATAATGGCAATATTCAAGGAGCTTATCTGGACTTTTTATCTGATAAAATCAATTCAACATCAGCTCTGCATGCAGCAGTTTTAAATTCTAATAAGGAAGTAATTGAGTTTTTGATCAATAAATGCTCCATTTATATAAAGGAACTTGAATTTGAACACCAAATTGAAGTTTCAACTGCCGCATTTACAACAAATCAATTCGATATTTTGTGTAATTTGGTCCAAATTTGCGATTTTCCATTTCCAAAAGATTTGAAATCAGAATTGATTGACAACGACTCATTAAGCAAGTTGATTGATTCTAGAGAAAAATTTCATAACGACATTATTAACGAAAAACTTAATGAAATTGAAAAGTTCGCAAAAACGTATCCAAACCTTAAAATTGCTTACAATCTAAATAATAAGTCAGCATTTTGTCAAGCACTAGATTCAAAAAAATACGGCACATTTTACAAACTTAAGGCATTAAGATTTTATGATCATTTAATAGAATACAAGATTGAAGATAGTGATAAAAAGAATGCGAAAAAATTTGCTGTAGCACAACTAAGAGAAAATGTCAGTTGCTCAGTACCTAATGAACAAGAATCAATATCACTATTGTCAATGCGATCATACATTTACAAAAGAAATGATACCGAAATAACTGAAGAATGCAATATCAAAATCAAAGATTGGTACAAACAGATCTACATTACTAAATTAGGTTCCAAACTCATCGATGCTGCATCGCAATGTGGCAAATTAAAAATTATATATGACTTTGAATGTGATTCAGTAAGTTTATTATGATTAATAAATTCTGACCAAGGCTCCCGCAGATTATAATCTTTTATTAATCCCATACAAAGATTATAATTTTCAATAGTTTTCATACAAAAATTATAATCTGCATTTAAAAGATTATAATCTGCGGGAGCCTTGATTCTGACAACTAAGTTGATTAAATTATCATTAACATCATGAAATAATGTTTTGAATTAAATTCCAATTGTAGGTTGAAAATGTTGATGTATCTTCAACATCTGCATCTAAAGGAAAAACATATCCAGGATTAAAATATATATTCATTGGAGCAAAAGCAGTAAACAAAGAGCGTGAACAGTTTATCAAAGGTGTTATTTCTCATGAAATTTGTCACTTCGTCATGCGTCTAGTGTACGAAAATAATGAAAATCCATACTACAAAGGTGATACAAAAACTAAAAACAAATTCGATGAAATCGTAAAAGCTATTCAGATAATGTTAGTTCCACAAAAAATAGTTGAAGAAATTGAAGAATCATCTGATGAGAATAATAGTTCTGTTGGAGATAAACATGATGAAGATAATAACGTTAACGACGATCAGTGCAATAAGATTATTTCATCAGTTTATAAATCTTATGATGAAGAAGATTGGCATCCAGAATTGATTGTAAGACCAGTGCAAATTTTAACTCAATTTGATAATGACTCTGAAAAAATTGCTATTTTGGAGAATAAATACAAACAATTATATCAATTTTGTGACGACGTGGTGATTCCTGAACTAGAACAATTCAATTTTGAATTCAGGGAAAAAGTTAAAAATTTTAACAATATGGTTGAGTTTGCATCAACGTTACAAGACACAAAGATTGAGTTAACAAAACAAAATGAGTTTAATCAATTATTACACAACCAAATTGTTATCATAACATCAAATATACCAAGACTTTCAATGATTGAAATATATAAACACCTTCGCAAGCAATATGGAATTTTAGTAATTTCCAAAAATATTTTCATAAATTCTGAGAATTTAGACAATTCTTATGTTTACAATAACTTTAAAGACATTCTTGTTAAAAAATTGAACTTGAACATTTTTGTTGATTGCTCGAAAGGATTTGCTAAAGCATTTGAAATCTTAACTTTAGCAAGAGAATTAAAAATTGCTATTATTGTTGGGGAAGAAAAACAAAGTGGTGAGTTACTCAGTCAATGTCAAAAAAATAATATAAAAACTTCCAGTTTATCACTTAATTATGATTGGTTGGATCTTACTTTTGAAAGTCAAACTTTTTTACTTAACACAAAAGTAAATTTTCAAAATAAATCCGATATAGTTTTATCTAACTTGATTTTAAGCAATGTGGATACAGCAGGTGACATATCATGTAAAACTGAAGAATTTTTGGACTTAATTGATAACGAGACTTTAAATTTATTGATTGAAAAGTCCAAAATTTCAATAAATTTGCAAACAATTAAAGACGTTTATGATCAAAACTTTAAAATTCTCTTTCAAACTAGAGAGTTGATCAAAAACTATAAAATTACGAAACAAATTGTTGACAAATCGGAAAACGAAAGGCAAGGAATATTAAAATTATTCAAACAAAAAAATGCTGAGTCAAAGAAATTTATGAGTCAGAAATCTATTCAAAAAGCAGAAGATAATAACGCACAAATTCAAGATGAATGTGGCCCATCAGACGTAATTAAAGTTAAAGAGGTCGATCAATCTGACCAAATGAATCAGGAAAAGATCATAAAGGATGTAAAAAATCAAAAATATGTTCTCATTTCAGACAAAGCCGGTTCTGGTAAAAGTTGGATGATGAAAAACTTCATGGCTAAGCTGAGTGAACTGTATCCAAAAAAATGGTTCGTTTATGTAGATTTAAAACAGTACATTACCAAATTTAAAAAGCAAAAGTCTCAAATTAATTTTTTAAACTTTGTTATTGAGAATTTAATTCAATTCAAATCAAAGTTTGAAAAGAACTTATTTAAAATTTTTTACAAAAACGGCCAAGTTTGTATTTATTTTGATGGATTTGATGAAATTGCACCAGATTGTGCCAACTTCGTCACAAAATTGTTTAAGTCATTTGATCAAAATGAAACGAATCAGTTATGGATCGCAACAAGAGATTTTTTCGAAGTTAATCTTAAGAAAGAACTGAATATCAATGTAGTTTATAAGCTAGACGTGTTTAGTGAAGAGCATGGAATTAATCTAATAGCTTCAAGCTGGATGCTAAGTGAGATTAATCACGATATTGCCAAGAATTCTAAAGTTGAGATTTTAAAATATATTAAAAGTTTGCCAGATTTCAAGAATTATTTAAAAATTGCCAGAAAAATCAATAAAAAAGTGTCAAAGTCACAAAATGCTACAATTGGATCTCCTCAATTCTACAAAATGGTAGGTGATATTTTAAAAAACAACAAAAAATCAGTGATGAACCTAACAACATATAGAGTTTTTAAAGAATGTGTAAATATTCAATATGAAAGATTGAAATCAAAAACTTAATACTTGAAAAAAATTACAATGGAAACAACTTTATTCACCTTCTGTTATTAAAGGAAAATCAAAGCATTATTAAACTTACGTTTGATATTCTTAAGACTATTCTGACTGACTCTCAATTTAATGAAGTGATAAGATCGAAAGGAGAGTTCAATAAAAATATACTTCAAATTGTTTTATGTCATTCTAATAATTTTGAACGATTTAAATATTTGTGGAAAATGATTTAACAGTCCTACAACTCAAATGACATTAACCAAATCATATTTAACGAATTTGACATTTCTAGTAAAAATTTAATTCGCTGTTCTGCATGTCACACAACTGGTAAAATATTTGAATTTTTAATTCAAGAGTTGGAAAAAATAACAACAAAAGAAGAACTAAAAGTAATATTTGGTCTATCAGGAAACATACTTCAGTTAGCAGTTAAAAATAATAAAAATGTTGATTTTCATACAAGTTTGTGGAAAATCATGCGTAAATATCTAAATTCATGGGAAATTTTGGACACAGTAACACAAAATGAAGGATGTGATGATAGAGATGATAACATTTTCTTAATCCTTGCTGATAAAAATAGTCCAAAAGTCACTGTTGAACTAGTTTGGAATGATTTAAAAAATGTTGTTCTTGCTGATAAAAGTTTAGAAAATAAATTATTTGACTTTTGGAACGAATGCAATACCCATTTAATAAACCTTTTAGAAAATTCAACTGATAAAAATGCAAGAAAAATGTTTAAAACTGCATGGAAAGATTTGGTTAGAAACTTCAAGATTTGTGAATCGTACCTGATAGTTGAGAAGATCCTGAATCAAGAAATTTCCATAAAAGATTTTAATGTTTTACAAAAATTAACTTTTTGTGACACACTTGATTTCCATGAAGCATTTTGGGAAATCATGTTCAACCGTTTTGAAAATAAAGAAGAATTGAAGGATCTTATTTTGAAAAAGGATGTTAAAGGTAACAATTTTCTGGACAATCTAATAATTGGCAGAGTAAAAACAGAAATTATTGAATTTACATTTGAAGTTTTGGATAAAAATTTTAATACTCTTCAAATTCAAGAGTTGTTTGAATCACAAAAGAATCAGAAAATCGTGTTTTTTAAGAAAATTAAGAAGGAATTTCAAAATTTCAATACTTTTCAAAGTTTATGGAAAATTTTTCGATATTTAAACAATAAAAAGAATAAAGATATTTTGGAAATTCTTAGAGAAGTCAATGAGGATGATTCAAATTTCATTCATATTGCTGCAGGAAATTCATCGAGTGAGGTTTTTGAATTTATATTCAATGAATTAGAGACAATTGCATCGAATGTTGAAATAAAAGAAATAATACTCACTAATGGATTTCGAAACGGAAATTTATTACATGAAGCGACTCTTAAAAATGAATCTTTGAAATTGCATGAAAAATTGTGGCAAATTGTTTCAAAGTATTTGAACTTTTTTGAAATTATGGATTTTATTCATCATCTTGACGGCGATGGCGATAATATTTTGCATAATGTTGTATTTTGGAACAATGCTGAAATTGTCCAATTGACATGGAATAATATTACAAAATTTATTTGCAATCGAAATGATCAAATTGAGTATTTGAAGGAATCGGGCCACAGACAAGAAAGTTTATTACAATTGTCACTTGAAAATAAATCAAATGATTCTGAAGTTGAAATTTGGGTTCAAAATATAATGATAGAATATGGAATAGAATCAAATTAATAATGGGTTGAAACTTAAATTTCTTTATTTTACCATTTTTATTGAAACATTCCATTTCTGTAGTTTTATTGGAATTTACATAAATATAGTGAGTCGTTAAACTTCCTCCAAAATAAATGTTTTTAAATATATGATTATTGTTTTGCAAATGAAGATTATTTCAATAAAAGAAATTTTCCAAGAATAAGTCAGCGAAATAAGTACTATTTTATGTATGAACATATAACTTTAACATATTGTACCACAATCTCAAGATTGCTTCTTTTGATTCGAACTAATGAAGTTGTAAATACTAAGAGTAAGAGATATTCAATCCATTCCAATACATTTTCACCGCTTCTCAAACCTACCGCAACTTCACGCATTTAATTTTAAGTATGAATGAATTTACAATAATCCATATAAATTTCAATTGATATTTATCGACATTTACACAATTGAATTAAATAGCTTTTGTTTTATTGAGACTTTATTCAGCATTAATTGACATGACATGAAAGTCTTCTTTTTTAATTTTTTATCTACCGTGATTTTGTTTTCAATTTGGATTTGCTCTAGTTTTACCACCTTTTTGTTATTTATGGGATTGTTGTTCGATGGATATGACAATAATATTTATGAATTGGATAGTTTTTGAGTTGCTTTAAAAGGATGAGGACGCATTTTGGCAATTTTAAGTACCTTTGTGAATCTGAATTTTTTAGATTTGCCGAAAACAGACTTAGTCAAAAGACTTCTTTAAAGTTTATTTAAATTCGACTGGAATCTCTAATTTTTTAAAAGATGAGAGGTAAGCAAGTCATCGTTATTAAGATTGGAAAAAGAGATAGGTCCGATACAGATTAGGGAAGCATGAAAAAGTTTTTTTTATTTTGTAACGTGAAAGACACCCAAAGTTAAAGGAGCTCTTGTGCTGGAGCGTAAAACCAGTAAAGTAATATGTATTAATAAGAACTAATCATCAAACAGAAGTTAAGCTCTTAAGTACCAATCTTTAGTATTGTCGTTAATTTTTGGATACTTTACAGTAAAATAGTTATAAGCACATCGTAAAATGACTAATTTAGGGGTAAATGATCCAAAAATAAAGTTGTAAATTAGAATTAAAACTGGATATTTGAAGCAATAATTAAATTCTAGGTGTACTCAGACATTGTTCAATAACTTTAAATATCCCAGTTGCTGTATCTTGACTATTATAAGGCTTATCAATGCATGGTACATGAACAAAAAGTGCTCTTGATGGATCTTTATCTAATGATTTTAAGTACACGTATCCACAAAGGTATTGTCCTACATCACTACTTGCTGTAAACATGTTACAGTGCGTCTCATTAAGTGATCTTGTTATTTTATCAACATCAATCTTGGTTTCTAGCCGTTGACACTTTCCTGAGTTTTTAAGGCACACAACTGGATCACAAAGTGTTTTAGAGCAAAAATCTTTCGACATAAAGCCATTCTTGGCGCATTTTTCTAAAAGAATCTTGCACGCACTTCCATTGACCCCAACATGTATTACTAATTCAGGATTTTTGGACCATATCTCATCAACTTTCTTGTCAACATCATCATATTCAACAGCAAGTTGTATTTTTTCTATTTTGTAATTTTTTTCATCAATTTTAAGCTGATTTGGAAGTAACTGGACTGCTTCCCAGCTCGCATTCTTCTCTTCGTGACTAAAATTGATGTTAGGTAATGGATAAATTGTCATAAATTAAGTAAATTAAGCTATTTACCCTTTAAAAATGCCATATCCAGTGACAACAATTAATTTCTCGTCCATAGCTTTATACTGTTCCTTTATGTCTATCTGTACTTAATGATTAAGGTGCTTTGAAGATAAAATTTTAAGATAAGTAATGCAAATATAATAGAAATTAAAGCAAAAAGTCACTCTTTTCTCTTAAAATCATACTGATTCATTATTTTATTAATAAATTGATATTACAATGTAGTTAATTATACTCGATCGTGAAATGCACACATACATAGTAAAATGCTGCAGCTGTCAAAATCAATTATCAACGTACTTTTTAAATTTGAATATCAGTCTAATAACTGTGAAACTTCCTTTGTAATTCAAATTCAAAATGTACGGTAAAAATTTAAAATCGGTGACAGCTTTAGCGATGGAATTTCTTGATGATTTATCCAATAAAGTTGACAACAACTACATGAAGGACAATGTGAGCGAATATAAAGTCTGCAAATCCTCGTTCTGGTGAAATTCCAATGAATTGAGCCTTATTTTGTGGATTTGATTGTAGACGTAGGCAAACTGGAAAATAATCACTAATTAGCTGACTGGATCTTTAACAAGCAATAGTATTAAGACTTACCAGCAAGAATGAAACAGCTTACAGTCGAAATGAATCCAGAAAGGAAGGAATTGAATGGAAAAGTGCCGACTAAACAACAATAAGCGAATTGCAAAATTCCGGTCAATAAAATGTACACTAAATATGCATCTACAATCTTGAGCTTCTTTGGAGTGTTGTTCTGGTATTCATCGAAGAATTTACCAAGTACTGTCTTTAATTGAACCATTGCTATATGCTGCTTTTAAGCTAATTTTTATTAATTTTGATATTTACTAACACGTAAGTCTGAAAATCGAGCTAGTGATGCGAAAAGTGGGTTTTTTTGAATATATTTTGATCGTTTTTATTTTTTGTATGGAAATCAGCTAGCGCTTTGGAATTAAATTTGTTGCTTTGTGTGGCTATTTTAAATGCTTAAAAGCACATAAAGTCTGGATTTTGACTTGAATTAGCAGTGGAAAATTGAAAATAATGACATTAGTATTATGTCATCTCGGAAAATTTTAAATTTGTCTTGACAGTTTACTCGTAACGATCTTTTAAAATTCAAATTCTTCACACAACTCAGTCGTAAACAAAGCATTGAATAATTTTTTCAAAACAGAAATATTAATTATTTTACAATGAGTTCGAGATGGTACCCACTTTATCAACGTGGTAATCCACAGTTAAGAGTCTTCCTGCCTAATTTCTGGATGAAAATCGTCAAGACACCGAATCAACAGCCCGAAAATGTCGTTTGCTTTGAAGTTTCGCATCAAATGGTAAGTAATATTATTAATTCAACTATAATTAAGCATTTAGACTATTTGATTAATCCCCTTCTAGACAAAATATGACATCAGGCAGTATTTAGAAAAGATTTACAAACTTCCAGTCGTCGCAGTAAGAGATCGTATTGCAATGGGAAGATTTAAGCGTGAAGAAAGGAACGGCTATATAATTAAGGAAGAAGATTCAAAGCTTGCTTATGTGACATTTCCTAAGGAAGTCAAATTCACATATCCAGACCTATTTCCTGAAGAAAATGAGACCAAGAAGAATCTTAAAGATGACGAAAAGTCACTGGATCAGGCAAAAGAAAGATTCAGAGAATTCTGTAATAGAAATAGTAAGCGTCGTGGGTTACCTGGATGGTACTCGATCTAATGTCTGTAAATTATAGCTATAGTTTAGTAAAGAGAATCAAATTTTATGTCTTAAACTTCATCTGTTATTTATTAATTTCAGAAATACAAGTTTAATTTCCAGTTTGGGCTTCTGGAAGTGTTCTGATGATGTCTGAGTCACCAGCGTCTGTGATTGACAATGTGCAGACACGGAAATAACGACCGCAAGCTGTTCCCAATTCAATATTGTTGCCATTGTAATGATGAACTCCTGTTTTAGCCAACATTGCATAGTATTCAATCTCGGATTTTCTATTGAAATGAATGTTAAGCATTAAATGACGTACGAAGATCCAGTGGAAATCATATGGTGCCATTTTATTGATCTAGAAGTTCCATAGTCGTGGATTTTAAATTCATAACGTTCCCAATCATACTTCTCAGTCAAAAAAATGACTCCATATGATTTATATCCAGTTCCAGTGTTGTTTCTTACCTCAAATGTGGAGTATTGTTTGCAATAATGACCAATTTAGCCTTGCCTTGACGGAGTGTCTTCAATGTCTGCTTATATCCAAGACAGAACTTTCCTGATTTCATCACCAAAGCCAAACGGGCATTGATGGACTCTAAAGCCTTTTTCTATAAACAAATAAACATTATTAATTAACCTCGAAATTCGGTTTTCAATGTTTAATTCAACTTACTTGCTTCTTTTGTGTGACCATTTTGATGAGTTAAAGAATTAAGCGTTCTTAATTGCTGAATAAGATACAAAAGATATTGAAATAATCACTTAAATGTATTTAAATTAAGGAATATTGAGCAAGCACGACTTACCTGCTTAAAAACTTGAAGAGAAAAGAACTAGTAGAGTTTTGGACAGCATCAAGTTCGAATTTTCGAAAATAACAAATCTTACCTTAATTAAGTGTTTTTGTTGTAGTTGATGAGTAATAATAACCATAGAAAGCAACATAGAATGATAATAACTTAGTTAAACAACTTATAAGCATGTTCGAAATTAAAACAAATTTCGAACTCAAAATTAACGGTTTTTTAAAATTCAAATTAATCTTCGAAAGCATTCGAAACTTGTAATATCCTTAAATGATGTCATGCCTTTTTACATCCCCTCCTAATACTTTCAAAAAGTTGCGAAACCTGCCAACACCACCCAAATACACAAGTTCTGTCAAGAATCTTAGAACCCCATCAAAAATTGACGTCATTTGCAAATGAACCCCAAAAAGCCAATGAAAAAAGTCTTCAAAGGAAGAAAAATTTTGTTAAATTAAATTATCTGTATTTTGTGTGTAAAAAATCAATTTGTGTCGATTATTGTCCTTTCTATGGACAATATTCATTCAATATTGCATTAATTAAATCGAGTGCATGTGATAAATGTGGAAATATTGAGTATTGAAAAAAAATTATTAATAAAAAAAATTTGTGACGAAAAAAGAAGAATTTTGCGAAAGAAAATATCCAATAAAGTGAAAAGTGATTAATAAATAAAAGGATATCCTACTCGAAAGTCAGTGATTTAAAAGGATTCAGTCCTTTACTCTATTCGTACCAGTGAAAATAATAAATAAATTAATTAATACAAGATGTCTATGGCTGGACAAACAATTAACGATCGCTTATTAGCAGCAAAACATTCACTCGCTGGTCAAGGATTGGCTAAATCAGTTTGTAAAGCAACGACCGAAGAATTGATAGGACCTAAGAAGAAGCATTTAGATTGTAAGTCATTCTTATCATATCCACTTGAATATTCATTGATAAAAAGTTCCATATACACATCCAGTCAGCCTAGCCTGTACATCTTTTAGGGCTTCGACGATTTTTTTCGGATTTTCGCTCAACAGAATAAAATAATTTGAACCTTATACAAAAAGTCACGACTGCAAAAATTTAAATTTTTCAAAACTGTTATATATTCAAAAACTTTAAAGCAGTTAAAAATTTTAAAATATAATATTTTGGCAATTAAAATGTTGCTTTACAAAATGAATCGTATGTCAAAAGTTGTATATTTTACTCTCTATTATTTACAAATAATCTCAACTTTGTTACAATAGAAAATATCCGAGTAAATTAAACTTATTATACTGTTACTGACGTAGAAAGCCGTTTCGTCTAGACCCTATTAAAATGCCACGGTTGCCGCTAAAAAAAAGTTTATAAATTCAAACGTCCTTGAGCTTTCTATAATCACTTAAGAAAGAGAGTATTGGTAACTGCGGTGAGCCAGCTAGCTTAACTAGCTCGTGTGTATAGACAAAATTTTGTAATCAACCTTAGAAATATACGTATATAGTAATTTAGTTATTATCCACGTTGCAATCTCCTTTCATTCATTGAATTCAAAACTGCTGCACTCTTGTTTCACCTGGTTCAAATAAACAAATTTATGCTAGCTTTTGTGTAAATACAGCCTCTAAAGTAGAGAATGTGATGCTTTATATTGCTTACAAGATTTTATTTGTGGCCAATAATCCAATAATCACTGGAATAAAAAATCTGATGCAGTAAGTCTGCTGTTTTATTATTTCTAGATTTTAACAGTCTAGATTATGAATTTTTTGTTGAGCTTTACCGGATTTTTGGAATTCAAATTTTAACGGCTCTGTAGAATTCAAATTTTAACGGTTTTGTAGAATTCAAAAATTGTAAGTGTGCCTGAATTATTTCATAGTGTCACACCCTTTTATCGATTCAAAAACCACAAAACCGTTATATTTTCAGAATTAATTATAAAGCTCTTTGAACCTAATTAACGAAAGTGAAATAACTCATGAACTATGCAAATTCATTACTTTAACGCCTATAGCATGTTTGAAAACAATTCACCTCCGTATTTGATGAGTTTACATAAACTCGGCTTGTAATCTTTGAAATAATTTCAAAACAAATAATTTAATTCAATTATCAATCATTGACAGTCATTCATCTATCAATACATTTTTTGTTTTACATAATCTCATATTTTCCCAAGTTTTTTTTTTTTTTGAAAAATGCCATGAATCACATCATTCATAAACTTGCTAAATAGCCGACAACAAAGCCTATTAATTTCACCTCTTTTGGTTACTTGGACAACAGTAATTTATACATGAATCATACTTTATTGTTCTTGTTCTTTGTGGACATTTGATAAATTGTGAATTTATGTGCTTCATGCAGCGCTGAACTCAAAAGAAAAGTGTATTTAAGGGATTATTCTGAACTTACTTGTTTGGGGGATTAGAATGACGTGCAAATTTTGTGCAAACATCCACAAAAGCTTTTCCGATGTAAGAAATTTGCATTTTAAAGAAATTCACACAAATTACAAAAAGATGAACGAATAAATTTATGATGAGATTTTAATTAAAGGTTTTTTTGTTTGTAATCAGCTTTAAATAAAAAATCTTCAATGCCTGCACCAGCCTGCACGATTTATTTATGTGCTTAGTTTGCATTTTAATGGAAATTTGAGAACTTATATCTTTTCACTTTATGCATATGGACAATAGATTGTTTATTACTAAAGTATATATGCCAATTGAGTGATCATAAACTGATCGGCATGAATGTTGATACAATAAATTAATATAAATGATAAAGAAAAATTATTATCAATAATATACTGTTTTTATTTGGTTTAAATGAAGCGGGGAGAATAATGTAGTCTTATGATACTTTGTTGCTTTATCAGTTTAGATTTATTGGGGGTTTAATGATTTTGTAACGGTTTTTTGAAATTTGAACTGAAATATTCATTTCAGTAAGTTAAAATATTCCAAAATTCCAATGGAATGCTCAAAGATTCCAGTAAAATGAATCAAAATCACTGGAATTACAAATATTCATTGGAAACATCCAATAGATTCCAAACAATATTTCCAATTCATTCTAATGGAAAATTCCAATAAGAATTTAATCTTCCAAAGTTTATTTTCAATTCAAAAAAGCTGTTTTATTTTGGTTTATTTTTGTTGCTTTTCATCTTTAAGATCTAATTAGTCCTCCAAATACATCACTTGAAAAATGATTTGTCTCACACACGACAAATCATCTGGATTTAATTTTGACTCTTTATTTTTTTTTAAAAAAAACTATTTAAGCGACATTCCTCAAATTCATCACATTGACAAAACTTTTAAGAAACAAAATAAAATCAACCACTAAAATGTATTATAAATATAAAAATTACCTAAGCCGGTTTGAAATTTGCGTAATAATTTTTGTATAACATAAAAAAAAATTGCATCGCCCACAAAACGAAATGAAAAGTGAGTCGAAATGTAGAAATTTTTTGCAAGTAATCGTGAAATCCCATTACAAATCAGCTTTTAATCTCTCAGTAGATGCTGTAACTCTATCGAAAATCAAGAAGAAATGATGAATGAAAAATTTATTTTCATAATCTCGCACGCAGTGCATCACTTACGATTAGATAATTTCTCATCACAACACTTAGATGATCAAGTACTTGATAACTATCACTTACACTTGTCTATGCGATGCACTGAAAATTATTGTTGTTGTCTAATTCAATTAAATAATAAATTGAACGATTATGCTTTGTATTACTTTTTTAAAGGTATTCGGAAGTCTGAGAAAATAGAATGATTGACGTGTTTGTATTAGGATATTGTGGTGAATTTCATCAGATTTTTTAGTCTAATTTTTGGAAAATTGAGGAATCCTGCGAGTAAAAGTAGCAAAATTTTTGCTTAAAAAATTACGCTTAAATTGCATTTAAAAAACATAAAAATCGAAAAATATTTGAAAAAAAAACGGAAAAATAAAATTTGAAACTGCACAAAAAATATTCAAATTTATAAAAACGGGTAAAATTTCATTACGCGATTCATCCTAAAATACAGCATAAATTCTTATAAAAATACTGACAAAACCTCCTTTACTCACACAAAACTATTCTTCTTCCCTTTTTGCGTCATTCCTACATTTTCATTCTTTCCATGCTCTCGCATTACATTGGACATAAAACTTTAATTATTAATTATGTAAAAGAAAAATGTCTGGTAAAGTTTCATGTAATTGTTGGCACATAAGAAACAAAAAAAAACTGGCAACTTCGAATAAAACTTTTATTTACTGCTCTCTTTTAATCTTTGTGACTCATTAGACTTCATCACTTTAATATAAATAAAATGATTCTAATGTTTACCTTTTCAAAAGTGGAAAGTAATAAAAGTATAGCTTATGTTGATTAGACAGTGCAACATAGTCCATGGCATTGTCATGGATGGAACTATGGAGAATTAATGATGAAAATGATGAGTTTGTATGTCATTGAGTGAAATGAAACTTTTATTCTTGAGGGAATTAAGTTGACGTCGTTTTCAAATGACACTAATGGAATTGAAAAAATAAGAGTTTAAATAAACTTTAAAGGAGAAATGTGACTTTAAGGTTTTTTTTGTTGGAATTTTTACTTTTTAACGGGTTCTTGATGTTGGTTGGGGTTAATTATTTGATTTCAAAGCTTTACAACAGCTTAAATGAATTTGTATGGTTTAGAGGAATTTGAAAACATTTGTATGGTTTTTTAAATTAAATATTTTTGGATTTGTATGGTTTTAGTTTGGTTAAATGAATTTGTAAGGTTTTAATAAATTAATTTGGATTTGTATAGTTTTAGGCAAAACTAAGCTGTTGTAAGGTGTCATTTTTTGAATTTTAAATATCAGACAAATTTTGTTTGCAATTTATTATTACACTAATCTCCAAAATCAAGTCTTATCATTTAAAATCATAAAGATAATATTTTTAGGCACCATTCAAACACAGCTATTAGCAACTTCATTGTTCATTTCAATTACATTCCCAGCTGAACAATTAAAGGTCTGCATTTTTCCAATCGTATATTAATCAAAAATACAATGTTATCATATTAAAACCGAACAATGTCAGCAATTATTGATACTGTATCGCTATCTTCTAATGAATTATTCAGCATTTCCCTTGTTTCGTATCAGAATTGCAGAACAGAAAGGAATTTTTTGATAAAAAAAAAATTATTCTTCCTGAACTGGCTCGTTGCATTTTACAACAATTTTAAAGTCTTATCGGAAATGTAACAACAAAAAACAGCAGAACAGAAACGAAAAATGTTTAATGCGAGTGATCTCAGAGTCATTCATATGTTCGTATGCAATAAATTATGTACTTGTATATGAAGCAACTCGCAGTTGTTCCTTACGAAAATAACAATTTTAAACAAATTACTGTAAATTCTTGCTTGGGTCATTCACTTATGACGTTAGGAAATTCGACGTTTTTGCGAGGCTAGGGCAACATCCCACCCAAACTTGCCGTCATACTACATTTTAAACGTTTCCTCGTGTTATTTTACGTTTGAGGGAGTCTGGAGCTTGGTTTGAGGTTTTGAATCCTCTTTTAATGGAGATTTTAAAGTTCTTCCTTATACCTTTCCAGAATTTTAAGGCAACGCCCTTATTAAAGTTCCTTAAACACAGCATTTTACGAAATCACATAAAAAACCCCTGCCGGCCCTTGTCAATTTCAACAAACTCAAAAAATAATGTCTTTAACATTCGCAATATGACTAATATGATTTTGCGTCACCTATCAGCTTTACGACAGCAGATGATCGAAATGTTAATAAGCATGCGCAAACTTTACTTTTTTTTCTTTCATTCATCGAATGAACTTTTTTGTTTCTTCTCTTTTTTCTGTGTTTCGAGGTTTTTCTTCTCATTTCGTCGTGTTTGGCATTGAAAATTTTGACATCGACATTTTCACACTTGACACAATTAATATGAGTCGTGTATTCATTATCTAGTTCTTTTGTTTGTTATAACGTGGACGCTGGTTTTTTTGGACAATAAATTTGCATTTTAATGCTTAGGAAGTTTGGACTGTTGATGATGAAGTTTTGATGTGTTGGCAGGCAGTTAATTTTGTTGGGGTTTTTGGGAGTTAATTGAATTTGTTGCTGACCTAATTACAGAACTCATTTTGGCAAGGACAATGAACATTTTTTCTACAAAGCACAGAGCACTGTTAAGAGATATTTAAGCTTGAACAGGGAGAAAATAGGGGAGAGTAGGTTATAAAGCTCATTATAACGATTAGGAGATCAGCTGCTAGTCAGAACTAAGGGTGTGGAACTGAAGAATTACATTTTGATAACTTTTGGTCAATTTTGATCATTTCATCAGTACCACACCCTTGGTGAGAACTGAACTTACATCTTCAAATTGAGGCAATTGTAGCTTTAAAAACTGTCTGGACCAAAAAACGTGCCAGATACGCCTACGCGTGACCCAGAATATCCAAAATTCTATTCTACTTCGACACTACTAGCTTTGCATTTGCTTACAAATGACATTAATCGAAAATTATAATTTTTACTTCCCCTACTCCAAAGAGGCTTTTAAATCCTCAAATCCCCTTTTCTTTCAAACAGATAGTCGTCATTTATGAACGACTTGTTTCCAAATGTCCAAAAAATCACTCTAAAACTCAAAATGAGTCACAAAAGTTCAAATAAATACAAAATTTCAATCGGAATTCGTGACTATATGCTTCATAAAATAGATTATAAACAGAATACACCGACAAAATTAAATATGTCTAAAATGAACGCTTTACCGCGTTTAAGTGTCTCGGTGATTCTTATCAAGACACAATAATTATTATAGTAGGTGCAACGACTGTTTATCACTAATGTATTAATTGCATTCTTTGTTCATCGAAATGGAGACATAAAAGATCCAGTACATTGTATGATGAATGTAGCATTGAGAATTATTTAAATACATAATATTATTAACATTTTTTTTGTGTCTGAATCCAATAGATAAGGCTCAAAACGCCCACATGACGAGCAAGTTAGTTTATCAGCACATATTTTTGTTATTTTCTTATTTCAATATGTTACCAAGTCTATGTGATTATTGTGTTTCTGTATTTAATGACTATTTTTGCACAGATCTTATTTTTCATGAAGCAACTTACTGAGCGCATCCAAAATTAATCAATTTCAACGCTGTTGCTTAAAATTTCTTTCTATTTCGTTGTTATTTTGTAATAATGCCTCAAATTGATTTATCGGTGGTTCTCGTCAATTTCAATTTGTATGCTTTATTTTTGGGAAATTTTTGGCGTGTAGGTGTTGATTTTTGAGTAGATGAGTGAGTTTAAGGGGTAGCTAACTTGTAATGTAACATGAAAAATAGCTAAAGCAGAGGTGAAAGTCAATCAAATAGTTCTAACGACTCTGCTTCAAACCTAAAGAAAGTGGGGTTGGATTTAAGTACTTTTTCGCTATTCTAGTCATCGAAACTTGGTTTGTGTAAATCGTGACGACACAAAATGTAGATTGGCACTTTAGAATATGCATTCATAAGCTCTAGGACATGGAAATTGTTCAAAATTGCAAACATTTAATAGTCTTTACTGGCAAAGTTCAAAACAAATCATTGCTAGAACTATCATGATGAATGACATCAAAAGAAATGCTTAAATCTCTAAAAATAATGATAATGTGACGAACTAAAGGTGCTGCAATCTTAATCGAAGGTTGAATCTATTGTTCTACTCCCTGTGAATAAACTTAGATAGTATTAAGGCTTATATCCACCTACTATGAACGTTAAACAGACTAAATCAATGAATGTATTGATAATGGTTGAAAAATACGCTACCGAAAATCAATTCCATCAAGATCCAGAAACCACTTAGTATTATCACCAACTTTTTGATCGTATATTAGCCTTTTCAACTCTACATCATAAAACCCTCGCAAACTTTATAAGCCGGCTACTGAATCAAACTCTTACGTGACCCTTTTCAATGCTTATTTTCTTCATGCCCATTTATTTCATGACTATAACGTAGAATTTCTTTTCTTTTATGCAATCAGATAAAATTGTTCATGCCATTCTGTCTATAATACCATATATGTGGAGCAAATGGCTGTTTTCTTTAAATTTTTTAAGGAATTTTCATCAATCGAAAAAATTGTCTTGCTTAGTTTATTGAACTGTCTAGAGATATTCAGCAGGTCAAATTATTTAAATGAGTTTTCAATCAATAATTCATAAAATTTAATTTACTATGATCTATTTGCATTTGTGCTTATATTTAGCAGGTTGTTTAGAGTAAGCAAATAGGAACCTGTTGATGAAATAAATTTTGGTTAATTTGTTGTCAAATTTGCTTACTTATTTGCATACAAATTAAAATTCTGAAAATTTATCCCTTTATATGCTGCTCGTATTGCCAAACAGGAAGTTTGACTCTTGTGGACATTGATATGGGGTGCTTGTTTACACAGGAAAATTGTGTATAATTGAATTTTCCAACACATCTCTCGGAAAATCTCTCTCTCGGGCATGATAATTATATCCCATTATATATTAAACGAAACTGATATTCCTTAATTGATTATCACTTTAATGCGTGCAATTAAGGCTTAATTTAATTATTGTTAATGAATCTTGGCTGGGATCATTTTGATAATTCAGATGGAATTCTATGGAAATTCATAATGATTTGTAGCTGTTTTATTGTTCTTAAAAGATAATCGAATTTGTTGCCAATATGAGCTTTTGTATTCTTTCATCGAATTTACACGTTCGTTCCCAAATTATTGGAATATTTTCTGTCTCCAGTGCGAAAACCGTTAAAATATAAATTTTTGAAAGTTCCTTTTTCCAATAAAAAATTGGAAAATAAAAGTTCGTTAAATTTGAATTCTTGAAATTTTTTCAGTTTCCAGTAGAGTATTTGAAATCATAAAAACCGTTTAAATTTGAATTACTGGAATGTTTCCAGTTTCCAATGGAATATTTGAAACTATGAAAACCGTTAAAATTTTGAATCTGAAATTTCCGTTTCAATTTAAAAGATTTACTGACACTTGAGCCTTTAAAATGATCACTAATCGATAAAAATCCAACAAAAACAATCATCAAGAACCTTTTAATTAGTCAGCAGAGCCACTTAATTCTATATTTACAATGATAAACTTTCATCAGATTTTTCGTCATGATAACGACAGTGAAACTACATTAATTGCTAATTTACTTCCGATTTATTACATAATCTCCCTGGACAACCGAGAATCGTGATAATCAAATCATCAAATAATATTTCTTTTCCTACAAATCTTTAAGTGTAGCGCCGTATAAAGCACTCAATTTGTTCTTATTAAGCAATTCTCATTCATTCATAAATAAGTTACGAGAATGGGCATTAAAAAAAAGGGTTTTGTAAGCAGTAAAAAAAAAAGTTTTAAGTTCCTTATGTATACATGATAAACTTTATTTTCGGTCATCTTCTAGCCATGCCTTTACACATTTTAGAAAAAGTTTAATAAAAATTTTTTCCTTAAACATAACTCAATCGTACTATTCATCTACAGAATTTCATTCAGAAAAATTGAACAAAAGTTATTAAACTAAATTGATCGATCTTGTGTTGGATGGCTTGATGAGTCATCTAGCTATAATAAAAAATTTATCAGACTCTTCACATTCTCATCCTAATCGATCGATCCTTTCTTTTGGAAATTAATAGATACATACACACATGGTTTTAATTGAAGGGATTCTCAGTTATTCTTGTTATTTTATTTATCGTCTATTGTTCTCGATTTTTCTTTTAATTCTAATTATTATGTTTTTATTCCAACTGATCTTTGTATCATATTTTTAATGCAATAGTTAAAGTAACTGGAAATATAATATATGATGACTGGTTAAATTTAATTCTTTTCTTCCTTTTCCTTCTTCTCGCCACCCTCCTCGTTTGGCTTACTGCCTGAACTCTCGCGCTCTGATGCCATCTAAAATATTCATGAGAAATATATCCATTAGAATTTCCACTTTTATGTCCCTTAAGTCTAATGCTTCAACTTACCTTTTTGTATGCCATTTCGAAGAGTTTGAGTGATGATTGTTGAAGAGCGCCAGTCTCTTTGCGTACGAGATCTGGATCGGCATTTTCCTTATCAGCAAGTAATGTTCGTACTTTTGAAATTTCTTCTCGCAACTTATCGCATTCATCCTTTGGCAATTGATCTTTGTATTCTTCCATCTTTGCTTCTGTGTCGTGTACTATTGATTCAGCTTGATTAACAGCTTCAATTCTATCTTTTTTGACCTTATCAGCTTGTGCATATTGCTCAGCATTCTTAATCATATTTTCAATTTCATCCTTGCTAAGACCACCTGATGATTGAATCACAATTTGTTGTTCCTTGCCGGTTCCCTTATCTCTAGCTGATACATGAACAATACCATTTGCATCAATATCAAATGTTACTTCAATTTGTGGAACGCCTCTTGGTGCTGGTGGAAGTCCAACGAGTGTAAATGCTCCAAGTAATTTATTGTCTGATGCCATTTCACGTTCACCTTGATGTACCTTAATTTCAACTTGTGTTTGTCCGTCAGCAGCCGTTGAGAATACTTGTGATTTCTTTGTTGGAATTGTTGTGTTTCTGGTAATGAGACGTGTAAAGACACCGCCAAGTGTTTCAATTCCAAGTGATAATGGTGTGACGTCAAGTAAAAGAACATCTGTAACATCACCAGCCAAAACACCGCCTTGAACTGCAGCACCGACTGCAACGGCCTCATCTGGATTAACAGCACGTGATGGTTGACGACCGAAAATATCTTGAACTGTTTGTTGTACTCTTGGCATACGTGTCATACCGCCAACAAGTAAAACCTCACCAATATCTGACTTTGCAGTTTCAGCATCTGATAAAGCTTTCTGGCATGGCGAAATTGTACGTTTGATGAGATCACCGACAAGCGTTTCCAACTTTGAGCGTGTCATTTTAAGATTCATGTGTTTTGGTCCACTAGCATCCATAGTGAGATAAGGTAAATTGATGTCTGTTTGGACTGCTGATGATAATTCACATTTTGCCTTTTCTGCTGCTTCCTTTAAACGTTGCATTGCCATAACATCCTTTCGGATGTCTAATCCTTGATCCTTCTTAAACTCATCGACTAAGAAGTTTACAATTGCATTATCGAAATCTTCACCACCCAACATTGTGTCACCATTTGTGGACTTGACTTCAAAGACTCCCTTTTGGATTTCGAGAATTGAAATATCAAAGGTTCCGCCACCGAGATCGTATACAGCAATGCTATATGAATTAGAATTACAATTAGTTTTAGGGATATTATTTTAATTAAGGCATAGATCTTACATTTTATCATCACTCTTGTCCATTCCGTAAGCTAAAGCAGCAGCTGTTGGTTCGTTAATCACACGCAAAACGTTAAGTCCAGAAATTTGTCCAGCATCTTTTGTAGCTTGACGTTGTGAATCATTGAAATAAGCTGGAACTGTTACGACGGCATTCTTAACTGGAGTATTTAAGTATGCTTCTGCTGTTTCCTTCATTTTAACTAAAACAAATGCACCAATCTGTGACGGTGAATAAACTTTTCCGTCTGTAGCTTGAACCCAAGCATCACCATTTGATGCTTTAACGATTTTATATGATAAATTTTTCATATCTTTTTGAATCTCTGGATCATCAAATCGTCGTCCAATAAGACGCTTTGTAGCATAGAATGTATTAGCTGAATTTGTGACAGCTTGACGCTTTGCAGGCATGCCAACCAATCTCTCTCCCTCTTTTGAAAATGCAACATGAGATGGTGTTGTTCTAGATCCTTCAGCATTCTCAATAACCTTGGCCTGTTTGCCTTCCATTACTGCGACGCATGAATTTGTTGTACCCAAATCGATACCGATGACAGCACCTTTAACACCTTCAGATCTGCGAGTCATTGGAATGTGGCGATTATGTAAGGAATCATTATTTGTGGAAACGAAAAGAATAGACAGGGAAGAGAAATTTAGTTTTGGATGTATGATGAAAATTTCAGTCAGATTATGAAAAGTTTATTGATTTTTTTCCACAAAATACTCACTTGTATCGACATTGTAAGCGATTAAATTGATTAAAGTTCTAAAAGTTAAATGCAGACAAATTAATTATGATGCATAAATGACGTGATGGGCGATAATCATGAAAATTAACCAAAGAAACTCACATTTTTCATCAAACTCGATAGATTTCTTGTATTCATTAGAGTTTGTGTGACATTTGAGTTCTTCAACAAGTATTTTGTAGCTGACAACATTCTAATTTATTATTTTATTCACTTTTAACTTGCTTAACTTCTTTAATTCACGTGAGTTAGTCTAGAAATACAATTTTTTCCTTCGCAATAAGAAGAATCGAGAAAGGTTGAAGCCGACTTCGAAAAAAATGTGACGCAATATTCGAATTTTCGGAATTGAGCTTTTTGCTTGATGTTCGAAAACAATTATTTGAATTTTCGACCGTTATTTTTAAGTGTGAATTATTTTATTTTGTGGATTAATGTCTATGTTGCCCAATATTGGTTGATTTAATGATTAATACTTATTTGCTGTCTGTTGAGCGAGTTCTTTATGAAAAATGATCTTTAGCATTATATTATGCTTAATTAAGCACTAATATTCAAGTTATCTGTGTACATTCATGAATATTCGACTATTTTGAGAACCAGAGCACTTGTTTACTTCGTGGTATCTTCTCAAGATTGAAGATGCGCAAATGATTATTACACAATTTTATTTGTGCCCATATCGAAGGTTCTAGAATGAAAATTTCATGAAATGGTGGATTTTGGGGTGTCTAGGTTGGTTTGGGTCATCAAAACATAGAATATTAGGTGTCAAGATCAGCCCAAATACCTCATTTGTGTTGACTTATCCATGCAATTATACAGCCCACAGATTCACACAATATAAATAAAATCATCAATACAATCTAGTCTATTTTTAAAATCATCAAATAATAATTTCTTCTTTATTCTTCCTATTTTCAGACTTAGTCCATTGTACAAATGAGCCAAATGTCTCAATTCCTAGCCTTGCAAATCTCTTGGTAGAAAGATCACAAAATGCTAATTGGGTTGTGGTATATAAATCACTCATCACAACACATCACGTGCTTGCTTATGGAAATGAAGTAACTTGAATATAAAGAGAGATAATGCTGATGTGCTGGAGAATTAATTACAATTATTTTCTATTTTCCAGAGATTCATTCAATATTTAGCATCAAGTAACTCATCATTCAACTTGAGTAATTTCCTTGATAAAAGTGGAGTGCAAGGTAAAATATGGTGGAATTTTGTTTGTCTTTATGCTGTATTATTATGCTGTGTACCAATGGAATGTAGAATTTTGTAACGGAAAGTGGAGATTTAAATAATTATGTCGATTTTGGAAAACAGTCAAATTTTGAATCATTTCTTAACGATAAATTAAATTTTGAATTTTTGGTGCAAGAATTCAAATATTTGAAAACCGTTAAAATTTTAAATGAACTTTTAAGGTCTAAATTGTAGAAAAGTAGAATCTAGTAAGCAATAAAAGGTCTAATAGGATTCCATTGGTACGCAAAATCTATTTAAAGTAGCGTGATTATGCATGTTAATGCTGTAATTACCATCAACTAATTTTCTTGCTTTTTTACTAATTTAGAAAAATGTCATCGATAATTATGTTGACAATATTACCTTGATGTACACATTATTGGTAGTCATATTACTAATGAAAATTTATTTTTTGCTTTTTTTCTCTTTTTTCTCCTTTCTATCCCCAAACATATTCCATGATACAATATATTTATCATATTAATAACATAATTTGTCATATAAATTATATCAATGATTTAATCAGGTGCTGTGGGAGCACGTGTTGGTAAGTTTTCGTAACAAATCATTTATCTGATACATAATTTTATTATTATTATTACATTATTCTGGTGATGGATACGCCTTAAAATATGACACATATATTTTCAATACTTATTTTATCTTTATTATCTTCAGGCTACGATATGTCGCCATTCATAAGACGCTATGCGAAATATTTGAACGAGAAATCACTTTCTTATCGTGCAAATGCTTTCGATTTTTGTAAAATTAAACGTGGAAAGGAAGAAGGATCGCTTCGCACAATGAATACTGATAAGCTATTAAAGACACTTCCAATACTTCAGCAACAGCTTGATGCTCTTCTGGAATTTGATTGTACGGCAAATGATTTGACAAATGGTGAGTAAATTACAATTAAATTGGCATAGACGTGACTATAGAAATATTATTTTCCACCATGGAACTTGAAGATCCTTTAAATTGGGTTTTGGTTGAAAATGATTTTGTAAAAAAAAGTTCAAAAAATATTTGAAAAATAACCGTCGATAAAGTTTTAAAAAATCGTTCAGACAATTTAAATTTTTATCAACCGTTAAACTTTTAAAATGTGTTCATCGTTTCTCTCAATTCGAATTAATATATTAAACATAGATAAATAAATTGAAATATCTCTAAATAATTTAGCGTAGAAAAGAGCAACGAGAAATTCCATTGAATTTTTTGAATGCCAATATCATTGAATGACATCCGAATCCCCGCATTTCACACTTACATGCCCACTGATTTCTCAATTCAATATCCAATAATCTATCAATTTAAATTCATATCATTCATTGATTATTTTATTTCCTATATTTATTTTATAGGTGTCATTAATATGTGCTTCATGCTCCTATTCCGTGATTTGATTCGCTTATTTGCTTGCTATAATGATGCCATTATCAATTTATTGGAGAAATACTTCGATATGAATAAGAAGCAGTGTCGTGATGCATTGGACTTGTATAAGAAATTTTTGACTCGCATGGACCGAGTTGGAGAGTTTTTGAAAGTCGCCGAGGTAAATTTTATATTTCGTAGCTTAATTCCTTCAAATTGTCAAAATTACATAAAAATTCCAGAACATTGGCATTGACAAAGGTGATATTCCGGATTTAACAAAAGCACCAAGTTCATTATTAGATGCACTTGAGCAACATTTAAATACACTTGAAGGAAAGAAGACTTCATCTGCCGCAAATACGCCAACGCAGACAGCAAGGTATAAATTTTCAGGATGCGACGTGAAAAATTTATCAAATTTACACAGAAAGACACACAGATTTAGTTTATATTTTGTTTTTGACAACTTATTTAGTAGATGATTGATGCTATTCGATTAGAAATTGGATGAATTTATTATTTCCATGTACAAAATTTAGATGACAAAATTGATGAGAAAAAAATTAAATTCTTAGAATTTTAAGTATGTTTGAGTGTGATTTCATGTAGAAAGAAGGAAGTTGGTGGATTTGCATTTTTCAAACTTAATGATTGAAAATTTAACTGTCAAAAAATGTTTGAAATTCCATGTCGAAAATTTCTTGAAAAATTCAAAATTGAAATTACCGGTCAAATTTTTTTAATTATTTAATCTGTGTAAGATCTATGCCTTAATCTACCATCAAACTTCTATGAAATTACATCAACATCCTCAACTATTATTTCCCTTACTTTACAGTAGCACCAAAAAACTCGAATGCTAGTACTGAGTCTCTTTCTTAATTTTCGATAGTTTCTAGACCTAGATTAACGACATGATCTTGAGACTATGAGACAATTATAGTTACTATTTATCATACAAAATAGTTTCTTTATAGTAATTTTAATTTTTTTTTTGTCTTTTTCTTTAAACTTTTTTCTCCTTCCAACTAACACTGTTTGTACTAATCCTGAAATTCACATCATAAATGTATCACTATAAATTTGCAATTTGTAATTCTTTATTATTTTCTATGCATTTTGTTGCTTGCTTCCATTATTTGCACCATACCCGTACTATTTGCAATGTTCATCTTATTACTTGCTATAATTATTCTTTCAATGTACACAAAATTATCAAAATCAACATTGTTCTCATATCCAACAATGATTAATTTGACTAAAATAACTAACGAAATAAATAGCAATCAGAAAAACGTAAAGAGCGGTGTTTCTGCCCTATCTTCTACTAGCTCATCGTTTGGAACAGCTGCTGCATCGGCTAAGTTTGAACAGCATACAAATGGCATTGATGAGGGTATGAAAGCTCAAGCTTTGGCTGAGGAAGAAGCTGCGATGAATCAATACAAGGTTTTTATCAGAAATTTATCAAAAATTATCATAATTTTCTATTGACTTTTCAATTCTAATTTAAAGCAGTCAAAAGTTGGTTCACCGACAGCTACAAATCCTTTCTTAGCATCTCCGCCAGCATCATCAGGAAATATTGTTGACTTATTTGGACCGGCTGACGGAGCTGCAGCACAACCAGCACAGCAATCAAATGCATTAGATGATTTATTGCAATTAGGAAATCCATTTGCTGAAATGTTTGGTGCACCAGCCCAACCACAGCAACAACAGCCCGTACCAAATCAGTGGATGAGCAATGGTGAGATTTTTAACTTTTGTTTTAATATTTTCTACCTTTTTGAAATTGTTTTTTAATGACAATTTGTGGAAAAATTGGTTTTTTATTTGATTAACGAGTTGAAGAATTTTAAAGTTGTAAATGAAAACCTTACAAATGTTTGTAAAATTGAGGAATTGTATGGCTTTCAAAGTCAAATTTTAAGAATTTCAGTGTCACATTTTTGGAATTGTAAGGTTTTCAAACATTTTTAAATTTGTAAGGTTCTGCAATTGTTATTTCATGTTTTAGAACCGTTCAAAAATTTCAAAAACTTTACAAATTCATCTTCAAAGCCATACAAATTCTCGTAAAACCCCATTTTAGAAACTGTTGTAAGGTTTTCAAACATTCAATACCTATTTTAAAAACTTCAACTCAAAATTTTTCTTTGATTTTTTTTTTCTTTTCTAAATTTTTATTCATATTTTTACAACTTTTTATCAACCTTAATTTATTCTCTTTGATTTAAATTTTTTATTATAATTTTAAATCACACATGATATTTCACAAATAAGTAAATAAAGTAGCTCGTGTAAATTAGTCGGCTCATAAAGTATAAAAATCACAGGGGCAGCAAAGAAAAATTATCCATAAATTAAAAAATTATTGAGAATTGAATTCATGACACCAAAAAAAACAAACTGTATAATTTCTAGGATTTAATGGACTATCGACACAAACTGTTCCTTCATCACAAACACAAAATCATTCGACTGCATTTGTTAGCGAAAGTAATTTCTCCTCAGTTTTTGGAAATAGTGAGCCAATTGGTATGTAATGTTGACGACAATCCTTATGAGATTCTTATTTTATGTTTCCTATATAACTTAACTTATTTGCTGTGCATTAATTGAGACTTGTACAGACTTTATTTTTAATTCCTATTTCCCATGTAAAAGTAATATTAATTAGTTGATTTTTCCTGCCATAATTTCTAATTCTATAACTCGGTTAAATGTTGAATGGAATGGATTTCACATCCTCTATAAATCACATTGAGAGTTTCACGATTTATTTTTCAATAATTTGCATGACATTACACATGAGTGAAGCTAAGGTTTGCTAGCAATTGTTGATGAATAAATTGATTGGCTGAAAGTTCATCAAAATTTGCCATTTAATTGTCAAAACTGCTGGTTAAACTTTAATTTTGCTCATTTCACTATAGTGGGACATTTTTGTTGGATTTAAAATTAAAATTGGAACTGATTGACATAAATTCATCAAAATCACACTAAAAAGATATTAAAATCACAGAATCAACAAAAATCAACCACAAGTGTCCATTAAGTCTTCCAATACTCAATTTTAAATTAAGTAAACCTCATTAAGTAGTTACAGAACTTAGTCCTATTTACTGTAATAATCTCTAAAGTAATTATAGACATTTTTCTAATTTCGTGAATTTTGATCCATTTTACAATATTTAATCCCGTACCTAAAAGTGAGATTTAAAGATTTAAAGTTCAATCGAAAAAGCAAGCATTTTTTATAAACCAAACAGCTCCATTAAGTCCATGATAAAGCGACAAATATGCATAGAATCATCATCAATCATAAATGAATATACCAGATGTTGAAAGAGATTGGTTGAGATGTGTTGACTGAATGTTTAGAAAATTTTTGTCATCTATCAAGATTTTCATATGAATTTTTATCGTTTTTTTATGAAGTTTCGTCTGATAGACATTGGCATAAGCTGTTTTTATGACAGCATTAATGTTCCATCATATTCCATGGATTCTTTAAATTCAAGTTGCTCTTGTTTTCTAAACAACTCAATCAACCATTAAATCACATCCATTTCATCATTCTGGTACAAAAAACACACATTTTAACTTTTCATTTTCAAAATTAATTTTGGTTTTTATTTTCTTTCTTTTTCTTTTGTTAAATTTTTCAATTTTATGATTTTTCTGAAAAAATAATTTGAATTTTTCCGCAAATAATTCTAACTTGACTCGATTCTTTGATAACACGAAGCTCAACCCAATTACTATTCGCAAAATTATTATTATACGCAAGCAGCTGGACAGGACGAAAATCCATTTTTAGCAGACGTCAGTGCACAAGATCCATTAGCAGGTGATAAAAGTAGTAAAAATGGTAGAAATAATTGTCCACCTGCTCGTCCGCCACCACCTCGAATGAATGAAACAGTTGACACATCATCTCCAGCACGTGGACCATCCACGGTCCAAAAGAGTGCATTTGATGATTTAAATGATACAATAAAGTCGGCATTGACAAGTGCCTCACCGTCCAAAACAATAATTCCATTCGAAAGTGGTGCGGTCGGGCAACTGGACTTGCATCAGCCAGTAGCTGGATTGTTTAGTAGTTCATCACAACAACACGCATTTGCACAACCACAAATGTTTTCGTCTACGGTTATGGGACACACTATTAATTCTAATCTATCGTCGTCTTCAATTGGAGGAGGTTCAGAATAATGAAAAAAAAAAATTGAAAACAGAAATTTTTCATAATTTTTTATGTTCGTTTATGTCTTTCCACGATCTGTGTAATCGCTTGCATCTTTTTTTTCTTCTTTAGATCCCCTTTTATGTTGCTATATTTGTCAGTTCCAAAAATTGAATATACTCTTTGTGATGTCGTTTTTATGTTCCTTTATTATGTTAAAATTATTTGTTGTTTGTTGAATCTTTCTTAAATCAAGGAAGAATAAGTCACATTGGAATTTCGGACACGACTACAAAAAAAAATATTTTTGTATCAAAATTAAGCTTTCATCTTTCTTCTATGTTTGGGAATCTCTTCTTTTTTTATTAATCTTATTTCTTTCCTCTTTACTTCACGTCGTGCATTTTTTTTATGGCTTCAAATGAAAAATCTTTTCTTTTATGGAAGAAATGCTTTAGAGAAAAATGCTTAAATTATCCAATATAAAAAAAAATCTTTAAATCACTTTTACTTTTTTCTTGTTTGATGTAATATCTAACGTAATAATATGTGCATGTGAAGTAACTTTAAGTCTAACATTTCTTGTTGTTTTTGAAGAAAGAATTTTTGTTATTTTTTTAATTCGTTGATTGTGGGTGCATTTTTTGGGTGAGAAATTGAGAATTCAGCTGTGTGTGATCAGTTCTAAGTTTATCGATGAAATATTTAAAGGGAATTATAATTAACTTTGCTATATTTTCAATAAGAATGAGAAATATTTGAGATATTGAAAGAGTGTGTGTCGTAGAAGTGTTAATCACTTAGCCCATGATATATTATGTTTGGTTTAAATTAGGGTGACCATCTAATTTTTATGAAAATACAGGACATTTGATAAATTTCCTAAAAAATACAGGACACAAAGGAAAATTTGAAAATTAACGGAAATTTTCGCGAAAAAAATACAGGACCTGGAACAAAATTTTCAAATTTATACAGGACAGGGTTTTGAAAAACAGGACTGTCCGTTGTAAAACTACGCAGATGGTCACCCTAGTTTAAAAGTCTTTTAATGTTTAAGCATTCAAACTTAGTTTAGTTGTAATTATAAACATTCAAAATTGCGAGTAATTTATTAAATACCCAGTTTCTTGAAGTTACGCAAAGTTAAGAGAGGAAACAAAACAACAGAATTTAAAACATTAAAAATTGCGTGGTCTTTAAAATCTATCTTAAAGTCATCTCCTCTATAATCTTAGGATATGCTCTATAGTCATATCCACATAAATCACACACTTTTAATAATAATTGCTAATCGTCTAGACAAAAAATGCACCCAAAATTCTCTGTTATGTTCACAGTACCTACTTGTTTGCCTAACATTGCATATATGGCTTTAATGGAACATAAAGAATAGAAAAATAACTATACTTTAATACATAAGATGAAAATGGAATCGAACGGAATGTGACTAACATTTTTTTATCATAATTTTTTTCTTTTTTCTTCATTTTTTCTTTTTCTTTTCTTTATCATTTCCTCTTGAATCTAATAACAAATAAAAATCATATAATTTATCTGGTGATCGATCAATTCCCTCCAAAAAAAAATTCAATTGGCATGAAACTAAAAATTGTATCACATGTTATGGGGACAATGAAACATTAACTTAAACATCCACATCCTTCTATCAATCCACAAACTCAAAAACCACACATACATTTCATAAAAATTAACACAAAAAATAAAAAAAAAGGCTTTGATCCATTGGGAGACGTACTAAAACCGGCATCGACTGGTGGACAATCTACGACTGGCTTTATTCAAGCTACACATCAACCAATAATTCCAGGTGCAGCACAGCAGCAGCAACAACAACCCGGAAAAGTGCTTACGGGTGATCTAGACAGTTCGCTTGCGTCATTAGCAGAGAATTTGACGATTAATAAAAGCGCAACATCATCAATGAAGTAAGTGTGAATTTCTGTATATAAAGGCTTGTTATTAAGTTACAGCTGAGGGAAGTAAGGGTTCAATGGATATGTTTTACTGCTAGTTATATAGCCTTAAGTCGATTAAGATTAATCGTTTTTTCATGATGTTTTACTTTTGGGGGTCTGACACTGTGTTACAGATTGATTTGATCATCAATGAACTGAATTAACGAGAATGAGAGAACAGGTTCATTACTAAATAATTAAGCGATCTCTAGCAGATTAAGTTGGAAATAAAGCTGAATTTTGAATCAAATATTTATACTTCACAAGAATAGATTTCTGTGAAATTGTATAAAAATTTGAGAATTGAACCTTCAGTTTTCCTGTAGCATAATCTTGTTCTATGCAGTAATATTTCAAATATATCTTCCAGTTTGGCTAATATTGAATATCGTTCTTACTGTTTGATTCTTTTCAAATTCAATATACATTCAAGTTTATTTTAATCAAATAATTAATTATCTCACCTATTTCATTATTGCAGAGGTGTGCAATGGAACTCACCGAAGAATCAGGCAAAGCCACAGAACTGGTCACCACAACCAATGGCAGCAACAACCGGCGCAAACTATAGACCAATGGTAAGAAATTTGACAAATTTGATTGTTATTAATTTATATTAGTGTTATGTAAATATTTCAAAATTCTTTAGGGTGAAAAAAATATTTTTTTATCTTCTTGGTTAAACGATTTTTCTCTTATTTTTTTTTTTAATTAATGGATTTTTTTTACTTGTGTTTAATTGCTTTTTGTAATATATTTTCTATTGAAAAATTGATGTTGATTGGAGGTTTGTTGACTGGATTAATGAGAATTTGGAGTTAAAATTGCTGAAAATTGAATTATTTGAGGGGGGGGGGGGGGGGGGGGGTTACGTGGGGCAAGTCAATAATCAAAGAGAGTTATCTGTTTCAAAACATAAATTTCCAGTTCATCAAGATTAATTGTAAATGTTTAACATGAGTTTTTTTTGCTAATAATCATTAACAATAGCTAGTCCGTGTGCTATGTCTAGTCAATAGTCATCGAAATCAACTTCAGTCGTCAATTTTTCTACCTTATTTTTTTTTTCTTCAAATTTAATTCATTTTATATTTTTTGTAAATTTTCTTTTTGTACAAATTATACAAAAAAAATTTATTATTATTTGACGAAAATATCAAACATAATAGGCTAAAGGCATGACTGTAACTCCTGCACCAAGCACAATTCACATGTATACCCACAACATACCTTTAGCGTATTTTCCTCCGATGCAGCAGGTAAGATTTTGCTTTTTATTTTATTATTTTTTATATGTTATGAGTTATGCTACTTATGTTTATATATAATTTTTAATTGTAATCAATAACATTTCACCCTCAATTTTGCACCGAATGTCTTACGGTAATTTATAAGAGAAATATTTTTTAATGACTTGCAAGAGCACTTGTACACTGAAAATATAGATAGATTGGCATAATAACTTTGAATTAATAATTAACACTATGACAAAATATCTGTGACATGAAATTTTGCTTTTGATGATGTGTTCTGGATAGTTTAAAGGATTTTTGGGCATTTTGGAAGTTCTTCTGAATTTGATGATGTTTTATGTGTGTTCTAATCCTTATTTTTGGTTGTTTATTATGCACAGAAGGTCTGAAGCACTTGAACAATAAGATCAGACAATGATAAACATTTACGTACTGCAACAGAAGAGGTGTTGAACCTTTAAATCCTTACAAATTGTCTCTAGGTAACTCGACTATGAACATATCAAACCAATTGATGTGATTTTTGTAAAATTCATGTTCAGCACTTGCTGTTTGATTGGGAACGTACATACTGGAACCTACGACTTCGATAAATTGATGGTTCTAAAGATTTCTATTTTGATGCTTAAGCCTAAAGTCTTGAATAGCATTTTAATAGAATAATTTTTATGTGATTTGACACATCTTCGATTTCATAGCTCAATAGTAGAGCTCTTGTTCGACTCGGATGCTTTATCGATTTTGTATGTAGAAATTCCATCTACTTCGAGCTCTGATCAATTCTTAACATCCCAAATTAAAATTGAGGAAAATTATAGGTTTATTTGGTTCAATTTCCTTTTAACTCAACCAAAATCAATCAATCCAATTAACATCCTTTCTTATAGATCAATCATCAATTTCCTAATGTCCATTTCAAACATCATTCAACTATGTAAATTACAATCTCACAGAATTTCATGTCACACACCGAAACAAACTCTCAATTTTAATAATTTTCATCAATAATTTTTTTTATTTTATTTCTCTAATCAGCAAATGGCACCTCAAATTCGTCCAGGAATGCCAATGGCAGCGCCTGGAATGCCAATGATGCAACAACAAATGCCAATGGCAGGTCAACCAATTCCACAGCAGCCCATTCTCACTCAACAAATGCCACAAGCTCAGCCAGCAAATTCAAATATTCAACTAGATCCATTCGGTGCATAAACGACATCACTCAAAACTGATGAGAAAATCATAAAAAATAGAGAAAATAAGATATAAAAAAGAATTATATTAATAATAATGATAATATAGAGTCATATATACATATATATTGAAAAAGGAACGAGAGAAACGCATCAATGGTAACTCAAAGAGTTTGTCCATCAGAATCGTGATTTTTTTTTGTTGACAAAAATTTCGTTGAAACTTTAAACTATTCAGTTTGAACGAGAAAAAAAGTACCATTTTCTGCAAGAAATAATTTTTATTTACATCATAAAGAACCGGAAACATTCATTTTGTGACATCTTACATCCAATTATCATGTGATTGATAATTGATATAGATCCAGTAAGTGGACTCGAATGAAGAGGATGAAGTTTGCAGATAGACATTTAATAATGATATATATATTTATAGTCCAAAAACATGAGAAAACTTATTTATCTTTGCAAGACACAACACAACACACATTTAGCGCATTACTATGAATATTATCAAACTTCTATATTCCTGTTATCTATTTGCATCTAGAAAATCTATTGTGAGACAAGAGAAAAAAAAACATTTAATGAATGATGAATTATTATTATTATTATACAATATATTATAAATATATTTTTTTTGGCGAATGATTATAAATAATAAAAAAATGTTTAGACAAAAATCGTTTGTGTGGGAAAAGAAGGAAGCAAGAAATGGGAAATTTGTTATTATATTTGATCGGTGAATGAGAGATTGATTGTCATGATTCCTATAATTCATTCAAAATTGCAACGAATTCAAGATTCTAAGACAATATTTATGAACTTTCACTGCGATTTCTTAAAAGGTTAACAATCCTTATTCCTAGAATTTTTGATCTTATGTCTATAGCAATCATGGGTAATAGCTAATTAGTCACCAGTGATCAAGGTATAACTTTGTCTATGCCTAAGCCACCTTAAACAGAGTTGTGACTTATAATCTTTCCTAGATTAAAGCCTTGAAGAAGGTCTTGATGCCTTGGCTAAGCCAAAAGCTACCATTAAACAGCTAGTTCAAAAATCAGTAAAATTGGCTTTAAAAAAAGTTGTCAGGGTATGATGACGAAGTGATTCCTATTCAAGCATTTTGTACTGCTAGACTTTGACTAGCTATCTCTTGATCACTAAGACATTCAAAATTCAACTTAAATCAATCATCATTCATCAAATTTAAAGAATAGTTTTCTTCTTTTTTATTTCTGACTAAATATATCGTAATCCAGTGCAATCAGGTATTTTATGAAAGCAAGGATAACTCATCCTTAAGCAAGATAAAAATATTAAATATCTATATAAGCGTAAATATCGATAGATTAATAATTTAGACCAATGAAATAAATTTGTATTAATCTAGTGCTGAATTTGGGGTTTTGAGGGTTACTAGATTTTAGGGTGTGTACTATGAGAGGTGTTTTGAGGTTAAGTAGACCTAAATAGAAGCAGGGAGTGAGCATTTACGCAATTTTTCTTTTTCCCTTCTAGCTAAGTTCCTTTAAAATTGTAAAAAATGGTAAAAAGCAATAATAGACCCTTTTGATACCGAAGCATGCTATATGTATGCCTTTATCTACCATTCAAACCTATTTATTCCTTAGCAACCTTCTCAAGCCATTAAAGCACTCTGTTCCCTAACATCTTGTAACTCTTAACCCTAAATTAAAACTTAATTCAGTAGTTCAAAACGAAAATTAATTAAAACTAAAGTCATAATCATTAAAATATTAAAGCATCAATGACTAGACAATATTCGTAGTGAAAGCCACTAAAATATAAATTCATGTGTAGTGCAGCATCACATTTAGGACAATTTAATGAGCCGTGCTAGATTATTTTAGTACAAATTTATTCAATGCTTGGTTTATAGGACTGATTGTGATGTCTTTCGTGGAATTTTAAGTTTAATTAGTTCCGGGAAAGACTTGAAGCAGTCTCGTAAATAATGTCAAGGAAAATCTATCGCTAAATATCTATAAATATGAAAGAAATTATATTAATTATGACTATATATGACTATGAGAGATATCGGATGGGAGAAATGCATGAAACTTAAGATTATTTTTGTATCATTCCAGTTAATTTTTCCTTATTTTGGACTATTATTTTTTATGTTTATTGCCTGTGTTCGTATTTAAAGTTTTATTATATTTCTAGTAAGTGTTGCAAATATTTCTTCTTTTTTAAATTTCTTTGTTTTGTGGACACGAAAAGTGAGTTTTCTTTATGAAAAAAAAAAAAATGTCTAGAGATAGAGTTGGAAACTTTTGTAGTTAAAGTTATTTATTAAGAGTTCTGATCATCTTTGATGGCAAAAAAGAGTAACTTATAAATTTTTAATTGTAAACTTTTGAAGTATATAAATAAGGAGATTCGAACCTTCGATATTAAATAGAGAATTTCACAGTCTTTTGATTGTAATACGTGAACTTATACTCTTAACCAATTAGACTCTTAATGAACTTTACCAATTTTGGTTATAAATAGGTTTAGTTTCTAGAACTTCAACAAATCTTAATCTATAAAAAGGACGATGATTAGATGGTTTTCAGACAAATACAGTCGTTTTCTTATAAACTAAGAATTTTAAATTATTTTTAAGCTTTCTTGTAAACTTGCTGAAAAAACCCAATTGAGGACAACTCTTTAACAATCAAACAGATAGTCTTGCTATGTTTATGCATAAAATTCTTGATTAAATGGCTGAAGTAATAGCTATTAGACTTTACATCGTTAGAATTCTGAACGTCTACGATATTCTTGAACAATTTAAAGACAGAACCATCACTATTCTGCATGGAATCGTTCTAATTTATGAACAGCTCCGTATATAATCATCAAAAAAATCCCTTAAAATTAAAATGATATACTCTCCAATCATCAATTCAATACAAAAGAATGCTTGTAGTTTTGATCCGATCGCTTTTAATAGCTTTAAAATATCCACAATAAGTTTCCAATTCTAGACAGCATAAAATATATTTAAGAACAGTATTTACGTGTAACATTATTAAAAATATGAAATGAAAATTATTCTTATTGAAATGCCTTTTAAAAAATGAATAATTATATTAAATACGCTAGGGGGCATCCAACGCAAAGCTTCAATGGGAGTTAAGAATTATAAATTTTTACCCATATTTTTATTTTGTATATTTTCTTGTGTAAATTATTTCCAATATTTTTTTTTGTTGATTACATTGAACTGATTTAAAATATTAATTATTGAAACCACAACAAATCGTCGACAATATTCATAATAAAATCGATATCCAGGATATAAAAGTATATATATTTTTTTTTACAAATTCGAATTTCGTTAGATTCTTAAACAAATAATTTTGTGAATCATGACAATGCTTATGTTTTTAATTTACTGCAAAATGAACGTAATTAGTCGTCCAATAAATCAAATAGACTCAAATTCACTTAAATAATTAAAAGAAGTAAGAATGAATAATAAAAAAAAATGAAAATTGTGATGCTGATTATGATAAATATCAATAACACATTATATTGAATAATTACGTATTAGACCCAGAAAATCAGCAAGAAAAATGCTTTTTTTGTACATACCCAAATGAGATGATGAATGAATGAGCTGTTAATTGAGTTTCATGTTCTTTTTTGTAAGGATTTATTATATAGTTTAATTAATTGAAGCAATTTATAATTATCAGTGGAACATGCTTTAATTCTATTGCCTGTTATTCCTATTCTTTTTGTTCATCGATGACATGATTTCCTACTTTTCACATTCTTCATTCTCATAATCTGCCTGACATTTAACGCTTTTTGTGTTCTATTAAGTTTCTTTTTCTTTTTGTTCTTTTCGCTTTCCTTCGTTCTTCTCGATGTTCTATCAAAACATTAACGACTATTGTTCATTACATTTATTGAAAAAGTAATAATAATTAATAATAAAAGTAATGCTAATATTAATGATAACAATAAAATGATTAAATTTACCTACAAATAAATAAAAACAAAAAAAAGGATGGAAGAATAAAAAAACGTTTTGTCATCTGTCAGTGGGCTTGGATGTTGAATTGATTCTCTTAGAGTTATTTATGCGAACTTATAAAGGCTTTGGAAGATCGAATGTTGTTAAATTTTAAAAAAATAATAAGTTCAAGTCAAACTTAAGAATACAAAAAAGCTTTGAGTTAGAATCTAATCATTATATTCTAATGACTTTAGATCTTTAAATAAGCTAGATTTATTGCCCGATAAGTCATCTGACATAAAGCTTAAGTGTTTGGCGAGAAAATCAGTGTACACTTTTACGTTATTACAAGTAAGCTCTTTACCGTACTTATAATTGATTGAAGCTCAAGTATTCAAGAATGTTCCAGCTTTTTCTACTAATTGTTTGATACAGTTAATCCTGATCTGATCTTGGTACCCTCGTAATTCAATTTGTTATAAGTTTTGATGTGAAATTTGAAAGTCCCACTTTGGAAAGTTTCTGGCTATTGGGATTAATCTTAATCCATTCATGCGTGTCACTAATTAGACAAATTTTGTTTGAGCATTAATCTAGCGTTTTTCAAACTTATTGGATTTGGAGGGTATTAACCACCATTTTAAGCTATGTCTTATCAGGTTTAAAATCAATTTCAACTGATAATGTAACTTTTTTGTATTTTAAGAGTTCTGGGCTTGTGAAAATGTCTAGAAAAGTCTTAAACCTGTGAAATTCTTACGACACAAAGCTTTAGTATTTTCAAACTCAACACTAAGATTTGTCAGGGGTCGTTCACTTATGACGTCCGAAATTTCATTTTTCAAAAAAGAAAAATGGATTTCCAGGGATTTTTATTGTTCTTTTCATGCTAACCCCCCCCCCCCCCCCCCCCCTGTACGTGAACGGCCCCTCAGCTAGTTTATTATATTGTTTCCCAGAAACCCTTAAAATCATCAAATCTGGCTTTAAATGCATGACACTAAAAGATCAAACAACTTCCAACTCAAATTAGGCTTTGTTTTCGATCACAATCTGGAGAATTTTCTTGAATATAACCCTGATTAAAAAATTAATGAACCTTAGACTAAGGAAAAAAACCAGCTATAGTATATATATAGAAAATAATGTAGGGTTCGCTTAAAAACGAAGAAGCACTTTGATCGCTGATCCATTGTGCCATCCCAGCAAGAGTATACTCCATATTGTGTTGGTTAATAAAGCCTTAGACATCAAAAATCATAAAGTAAGAATCAAAAAAAAAATCAAGAACCTTAGAAAAGCAAAAAAAAAAGAATATAAGAGTTAAATAAAGTTAGATGAAAAGTTTTAAAAGATATATTGCGAAACCTTATGAACCTAACGTATTAAAGATTAAAACAAGAAGAAGAAAAAAGAAGAAAAGAAGAAAAAAATATATTTGATGAAAAAAAAAGTGAAGTAGCAGTAAGCAAGTTATATATGTGAATAAATTAAAAAAATATTATATATGATGAAGTATGAGAAAAAGAAGAAATGTTTCCAAAAACGAAGAAGTTTTAAAGTAAAAAAAAAGTTACATAAAAGTGAAGATGAAAAAGAACTCAAGAAAAAAAAAAGTAAATAAATAATAAAGAAAAATTCATTAATATTACATGATAATATGATATTGTATGTAAATGTAGCTTATGACGATATGATTTATTGATAAAAAATTGAAAATATAACTATAGTAATTGAATAAAAATTACATACATTGAGTATGTTAATCAAATGCATATTATTCGAGGCTATCATCATAACTAAATGTTACTTTTTAAAAAAAATCCATCACGAAAAAAAAAAAAAAATCTTTTTTTGCTTTTCAGAAATTATG